CCTCTCTCATCTTTTTAAGTGGGAGAACATAAACAATTGGTGGCTGACTAAATACTTTTTTTCCCCACTGTACTTATTACCCTCATTAAAATGCAAATCAATTTATAACATTTTTGACATGCGTTTTTCTGGATTTTTTTGTTGTTATTCTGTCTCTCACTGTTCAAATAAACCTACCATTAAAATTATAGACTGATAATTTCTTTGTCAGTGGGCAAACGTACAAAATCAGCAGGGGATCAAATACTTTTTTCCCTCACTGTAGCGTCATACCCAAGAAGACTCGAGGCTGTAATCGCTGCCGAAGGTGCTTCAACAAAGTACTGAGTAAGGGGCCTGAATACTTACGTATATGATATTTCTGTTTTTTATTTGTAATAAATGTTTTAAAATGTCTAAAAACCTGTTTTTGCTTTGTCATTATGGGATATTGTGTGTAGATTGATGAGGGGAAAAAATTTAACAAAATGTGGAAAAAGTCAAGGGGTCTGAATACTTTCCGAATGCACTGTACATGATGTATGTACTGTAAGTCAAAATACTTCCTATATATCCAAACCGGCCTCAAAAACAGCATTCAGCAGAAATCCACTCTTTTTGTGTCACTGGCTATGTCAATGTGACATCATCACCGATACTGGCAGATGTTTCTAGAGGCAGAGAGATAGAGAGAGACCTGGGACTGTGTCGATAGATAGGTAGGTAGGTAGATAAACTCCGCAAAAAAAGAAACGTCCTCTCACTGTCAACTGCGTTTATTTTCAGCAAACTTAACATGTGTAAATATTTGTATGAACATAAGATTCAACAACTGAGACATAAACTGAACAAGGTCCACAGACATGTGACTAACAAATGGAATAATGTGTCCCTGAACAAAGGGGGGGTCAAAATCAAAAGTAACAGTCAGTCTCTGGTGTGGCCACCAGCTGCATTAAGTACTAGAGTGCATCTCCTCCTCATGGACTGCACCAGATTTGCCAGTTCTTGCTGTGAGATGTTACCCCACTCTTCCACCAAGGCACCTGCAAGTTCCCGGACATTTCTGGGGGGGAATGGCCCTAGCCCTCACCCTCCGATCCAACAGGTTCCAGATGTGCTCAATGGGATTGAGATCCGGGCTCTTTGCTGGCCAAGGCAGAACACTGACATTCCTGTCTTGCAGGAAATCACGCACAGAACTAGCAGTATGGCTCATGGCATTGTCATGCTGGAGGGTCATGTCAGGATGAGCCTGCAGGAAGGGTACCACATGAGGGAGGAGGATGTCTTCCCTGTAACGCACAGCGTTGAGATTGCCTGCAATGACAACAAGCTCAGTCCGATGATGCTGTGACACACCGCCCCAGACCATGACGGACCCTCCACCTCCAAATCGATCCCGCTCCAGAGTACAGGCCTCTGTGTAACGCTCATTCCTTCGACGATAATCGCGAATCCGACCATCACCCCTGGTGAGACAAAACTGCGACTCGTCAGTGAAGTGCACCTTTTGCCAGTCCTGTCTGGTCCAGCGACGGTGGATTTGTGCCCATAGGCGACGTTGTTGCCGGTGACGTCTGGTGAGGACCTGCCTTGCAACAGGCCTACAAGCCCTCAGTCCAGCCTCTCTCAGCCTATTGCGGATATTCTGAGCACTGATGGAGGGATTGTGCGTTCCTGGTGTATATCGGGTAGTTGTTGCCATCCTGTACCTGTCCCGCAGATGTGATGTTCGGATGTACCGATCCTGTGCAGGTGTTGTTACACGTGGTCTGCCACTGCGAGGACGATCAGCTGTCCGTCATGTCTCCCTGTAGCGCTGTCTTAGGCGTCTCACAGTACGGACATTGCAATTTATTGCCCTGGCCACATCTGCAGTCCTCATGCCTCCTTGCAGCATGCCTAAGGCACGTTCACACAGATTAGCAGGGATCCTGGGCATCTTTCTCTTGGTGTTTTTCAGAGTCAGTAGAAAGGCCTTTTTAGTGTCCTAAGTTTTTATAACTGTGACCTTAATTGCCTACCGTCTGTAAGATGTTAGTGTCTTAACGACCGTTCCACAGGTGCATGTTCATTATTTGTTTATGGTTCATTGAACAAGCATGGGAAACAGTGTTTAAACCCTTTACAATGAAGATCTGTGAAGTTATTTTGATTTTTTTCAAATTATCTTTGAAAGACAGGGTCCTGAAAAAATGATGTTTCTTTTTTTGCTGAGTTTAGATAGATTCTATTTCGACATACGGTACCAGTGAAACGTTTGGACACACCTATTCATTCAAGGGTTTTTCTTTATTTTAACTATTTTCTACAGTGTAGAATAATAGTGAAGACATCAAAACTATGAAACTGGCTCTCATGAGGACCGCCACAGGAATGGAAGACCCAGAGTTACCTCTGCTGCAGAGGATAAGTTCATTAGAGTTACCAGCCTCAGAAATTGCAGCCCAAATAAATTCAAGTTCAAGTAACAGACATATCTCAACGTCAATTGTTCAGAGGGGACTGTGTGAATAAGGCCTTCATGGTCGAATTGCTGCAAAGAAAACACTACTAAAGGACACCAATAAGAAGAAGAGACCTGCTTGGGCCAAGAAACACGAGCAATGGACATTAGACCGGTGGAAATCCAAATTTGTGATTTTTGGTTCCAACCGCCGTGTCTTTGTGAGACGCGGTGTGAGTGAACGGATGATCTCCGCATGTGTATTTCCCACCGTAAAGCATAGAGGAGGAGGAGTTATGGTGTGGGGGTGCTTTGCTGGTGACACTGTCTGTGATTTATTTAGAATTCAAGGCACACTTAACCAGCATGGCTACCACAGCATTCTACAGTGATACGCCGTCCCGTCTGGTTTGGGCTTAGTGGGACAATCATTTGTTTTTCAACAGGACAATGAACCAACACACCTCCAGGCTGTATAAGAGCTATTTGACCAAGAAGGAGAGTGATGGAGTGCTGCATCAGATGACCTGGCCTCCACAATCCCACGACCTCAACCCAATTGAGATGGTTTGGGATGAGTCGGACCGCAGAGTGAAGGAAAAGCAGCCAATAAGTGCTAAGCATATGTGGGAACTCCTTCAAGACTGTTGGAAAAGCATTCCAGGTGAAGCTGGTTGAGAGAATGCCAAGAGTGTGCAAAGCTGTCATCAAGGCAAAGGGTGGCTATTTGTTTATTACATGATTCCATATGTGTTATTTCATAGTTTTGATGTCTTCACTATTATTCTACAATGTAAAAAATTGTAAAAATAAAGAAAAACCCTTGAATGAGTAGGTGTGTCCAAACTTTTGACTGGTAGTGTATGTGTCTTTGCTCCTGGTGGGAATCATCAACTAATACACCTGCTGCCAGCCATACCCATGATGTATTGTATTGATGTATTGTATTGTGTAGATGAAGGGAAGAGCGATAGGGAGGACGAGGAGGAAGGGAAAGTGAAAGGGAGACGAGGCGAATGGAAAAGAGAATGAGGGCAGGAAGAGGGAGAGATGATATCTCTGTGGGATCTGCCAGGGGTGTGATGGGTGTGTATTTGTTGTGTGAGAGGGCACAATGCTCACCGTGTGAGTGCCCCTGAGCAGTCAGTGGATGGATGAGCGCTGTTACGTGTCTGTGTGTCATTGTCAGCAGCTGCTTGACTAACGCTGGGGCTGTCCAATCACCTCAGGGCAGAAGTAACCAATATTGCCAGGGAAGAAACCCTATATCACAGAAAGTGACAATTACATGGGTGTGTAGCGTACTTAGTTAACGATTTTCAATCTTGTGAGTTTCCAACCGTCAGAAACCCATCCGCGTAACTTCTAGTGTTCCTGTTCCCCTAGTCTCTACTCCCTCAGCTCAGTTTGCAGCTTTGAAGTCTCATGATGAAAGGAAGAAGCTTTTGTCTCTCTCCAATGATCAATCACTTAATACCATGAACATCTGTTAGCAGCCACTGAGCCACACAGTGGACAGAGTCACCTGTCTGGGTGGGGTGATAGGCTCATACAGCAGTAACAGGAACCCTGCTTTAGATCAATAATAATTACATGTACCCAGTAGAGTTGACCCAGAGAGGAAGTAGCTCTGACCTCTCAGCTCTAGAAGGAAATAGAATAAATCTCTGCTTCCTGGTGGGATAGTGAGATGGAGTGTCTAGACTATACAGTAGTAGGTGATGGTTCTAGTGGGATCTGTACGGTGTGAAGGAGGTTATAGGTTGTCTCTGATCTCTACTTATCGTTCCTATGCGTTAGTGTGTATGGGGTGCTGTGTAGATTCATGTGCTATAGATTAGTGTAATCTATCGCCACAACCTCTGTGGGTCGCCCGGCCTGCTGTCACCTGCCACCCTAAACACGGGCATATGCGCTGCTCTCTTTGTGATGTCACGAAGCATTATGTGCACATGCACATACAATATTTCTGTGATGTCACTGAACAGGCTTTTTTTTAGGGATGTATTAGTTGATTGAGCCCATTCATTTGTAGGTAGGTAGGGAGAGCGGGAGAATATATTAGAATTGAGTAGGCTGACCCAGTGAAGTAATTCTCCTCTCCCCAGACAGAGAGGAGTGTATTAGGCGGTTCCATTACACTAGGGGAATATGATAACACAGTTGAGGGAAAGTACCTAGACAGCACTCTAATCCAGCCCAACTAATCCATGGCTTGCTCCACACAAAAGACACAAGGTGTACACAATAACACAACCAGCATGTTAGATCATCTATATGTTTCAATATTTTGCTTCATATTTCAATACATACTGTGTGCGAGTGTTTGCTTGTGTGTATGAGAGATCTGTGCAGTGATACCCTGGGGCCAAGGCTGTCACTTGAAAGGTCCTCTCATGGCCAAACAATGAACCCTGTTGGGCAGAGCTTCAATATTTGTGGTGTTTGTGTGTAAGGGGAGTGTCTGTAGAGACAGAGAGTGAAACAGACATGATAGCGTGTGTTTTAGGATACGGCTGAAACAACCGTCTACAGTATGAGTAGTACCCAGAGGAGGTGAGCCTGGCTCGGCATGGCCCTGAACCAAGTGTCCCTGCTCTGCCACGACATCACCAACCTGTGGCTGGAGCTCCAGCACAGGACAGGTACTGGTTGGTCTTACTGTCTGTCTTTCATTTGGTCGGTTGTCTGTCTGTCTCGGTCTGTCTATCTACCAGTGTACATGTTGCTTACAGTAGACAATGGACCTAGTTGAAGTGACTTATGCTGTTTTGGTGTTGTAATAATGTTGAAGTAGACTGTCTTTGCTGCACTAATGCTGACACTACTGTCAAAAAAATGGTGAACAATGTAACATGTCAGTTTGGAGCGTGTCAGTCTCTGTGTTGACATAGTGTTGAAGTGACAGGAACACACTCACAGGAACCTCAGAGAAAAGTCAATATTACTCTCTGTAGCTCCCCTTCCATCTCTTCGACCTTGTTGCTTTATATGCTTAATACTTTGTCCCTTTAGATGTAAATCATCACTTTATCTCACTGGAAAAGATGGGATGAAGGGAGATGGAGAGACATACATGCTCTTAGACATTCTCTTCTTCAGAAAATGTTACTGTGGGAGTGTTGCGTAACAGCAGTGCTCCTTTACCGTTAAACTGATGTCCTGTCTAAAAAGGAAGGCTTGGCCACTGAATAATTCAAGAGACGAGAGAGTGGTTAGCCCTGGTTAGTGGTCTGACGTGACATCGTTGAGATAAACAGTGTTGTGGCCCTAGAAAGTCTGCCAGGCTGGTTTCTAACATTACATTTACATTTTAGTTATTTAGCAGACACTCTTATCCAGAGCGACTTAAGAGTTAGCGTGTGTGATATGTAATCCTATAGCGTAGAGCGTCACTGTGGCTTTCTGTTCCATCGATCTGTTGTGCTCTGTACTGTTATGCCCTCAGTTTCAACAGTAGGACTTTTGCCAGACTCCCACAGTATAGGCACTACCTGCATAAAGATAACTGCTTGATCACACTGTATAACTAACTATATGTAGCTGTTTATAAATGGATGCAGATTAACCTCTTTTTGTGAGTGACTGGGAGCATGGGAGTATTGTATGTTCTGTATGTAACCTGTATTTGTGCTGACTTGGCTGTGAGGGTTTGGGGTTAAATCGATATCAATGATTTACCAGAAGACCATTTGAGCTGAATTATTGACCAGGAGTCTCTAGTCTCTCTGTGTAGAAATGATCCAGTCTCCCAAACTAGAGCTATGTCAAGTAAGCATGCTAGCAGGTTGCAACTGTATAATATATAAATAAATAATGAAGTATTATGCTACCAGTGCTCTTTATTATTACAAATGAACAACATAAATATTAGCCAACAGCTACGCATATCCTGTGAAAACTGGACAGATACAGTATATTAGTTATAGAGGAAGTACATACCTTCAGGTACTACAGAACAATAACATTGACAGCAGTGGAGGCTGCTGAGGGGTGGACGGCTCATAATAATTGCTGGAACGGAGCGAATGGAATGGCATCAAACCATGTGTTTGATATATTTGATACCATTCCACTGACTCCTCTCCAACCATTACCACGAGCCCGTCCGCCCCAATTAAAGTGCCACCAACCTCCTGTGATTGACAGAATTCTGTTCCGCTTTTAGGAAACTGCAGTTATAGGTAGAATATGCTGACTGAAGAATGAGCGATTTGGGGCTGTGTATCAGTGTCTCTGAACTAGTTTTGTTCCTGTGTACCAGCAATGAATACAGACCTAGCCATTCCCTCCCTGCTGACATGGCCCTCTGAGTCAAAGCAGCCTGGGCCCACAGTGTTTTGTCACCCCATCTTCACCTTCACTACCTGGCTGGGGCTATGCTGCTCCCTGCGGGGGGTTCAGGCCCATTATCTAATTATTCTAATACCAATGATGGGAGTTGATGGGGTGATAGAGCTGGGAAGGTACTTGGGGCGTAAGGAGTCATTTGGATGGCTGTGGCTTTTATCTGAAGACTTGCTTCACTAATGGTGGGTCAGGACCCAAAGTGTTTGTACCATTCTGGTCTCTCGTCTGCGTTTCAGATGATCATTTTTTCACTATTCTGCACGTCTTTATAGTGCTCAGACTACATGCTGTACTAAATTAATGTACTGTTTTTGTGTGAGTATGTCTAGCTCTTCTCTACTTTTGTGATGGTTCTTTCATTCAATGGGATAGGTTCTGTTCTGACTGTGACTCTGACTGTGTTGTTGCTCTGCTGCTCCTCCAGATGAGATCATGCAGCAGGAGAGCAGTCCCCTCTGTGCAATCGACATCACCCCTGACCTCAGGAAGCAGTTTGCCTTCCTCTCAGGTAACACTTCCTGTCTGTCTGTCTGTCTGTCTGTCTGTCTGTCTGTCTGTCTGTCTGTCTGCCATAATACAGATGTCTGCTATAACACAGGACTGTACTGTTCTTCTACCTGATATAGTTCAGAGGAACGGTCTGCTTCACCCCTCAGGATTTGCCATTCAAATTTCTCTTCTCCTGTTTTCCTGCTCATCATTTGTTTATCAGCGTTAGTCCGGCTACAGTACACTGGGGCTCCTTCTCTTCACGACTGTGTGTTTGTTTAGTGTGTATTTACATATGTGTAAATCCGTTTCTGTTGCGTATGAGCCAAATATGGAGTTTCTGTTTTTCAAGTTGTCTTGTCAATTCAGTGTGTCTGTACTGCATGCATGGTAGAAGCTTTACAGAAATCACCTAGGCTTGTGAGCAGACTTCCACAAATGTTACTTAATTGAAAAACTAAATGGATAATATAACGGATACAAGTGTTGTAGCATTGATTCCTTCACCGAATTCACCTCATTTAACAGAAGACCCCCACCCCCGACACTTTGCCCCCTCTCTGTCCCCCTCTATGTTCTACATGGAAGGTCACCTTGGGGACTGCGGCAGAGTGTTTATTGGATGTTCTCTGCCTGTCGGCGTCCATTTTGCGGAGAGCTTGCCTCTTCTCAGATGCAGCAGAATCAAAACAGACAGCTAAACGGTGACCGAGCATTTGCTGTTGCTAGGGTGATAATAGAAGAGGGAAAATATTCTGATCACATGGGCTAATAGTACACGCGTGTGTATTTGTGTGACTATTTCCCCCATTTTCTAAGTGTCTGTGTGTGGGTTTAAACACTGCAGAACATACCCGTCTTTCTCACCCTCCCCTCCTCTCTCTCTTTCTCGGTGTGTCTGTTGCTCTTTCTTTCTCTCTCACTTTACCCTATTGCCCTATCAAACTAGACTGGTTTGCCAGTTCCACTGGCGCCCTCTTGTGGTAATCCCTGTCGAAGTTATGTAAAGAAAATTACCAAGGAATGTGAGTCTTCTCGGTTCCAGTGAACTCTCTGTTTTAGTGAACTCTCTGTTCTTAACTCTTCCATGTTTCTTTCCCAGGGGGGCGAGGGCAGAACGGCAGCCCCATCATCGTGTTCCCAGAGTTCCCTGCGTTCGGAGAGATCCAGGAGAGGGAGTTCCACAACGTGCTCACATACCTGACCAGCATCCCCAGGTGAGATTCTACATACGACACACACACCCTTGCTTCTTCAGACACTTCCTGTGTCCGAGCTCCCTGCATGTATTATTCCCATGCTAACCAGTCAGATCAGTCTATTTTACAGGAAGGGAATTGAGGAGTGGCAGATGAATATTGAACATGCTAGGGGGAATTTAGGAGATATCAGATGAATGCAGAAGACGGTAACATCTACTGCAGTTGAAACTTCTTTTTTTTTGTGTAAGATTATTGTTTAACAATATAAACCATACATAGACAAAAGACAATAGACAGACAAACACAAACATCATTGACATCACACCTGCTCAGACCCATGTTCCCACCGCTTCCATTTCCAGTGCATGTAAGACTCTATCCAGGGGTATTCAACTCTTTCCCTACGAGGTCCGGCGCCTGCTGGTTTTCTGTTAATTAATTGCACACACCTGGTGTCACAGGTCTAAATAAGTCCCTGACTAGAGGGGAACAATGAAAAATGCAGTGGGACTGGCTTCGAGGTCCAGAGTTCAGTTTGAGGGCTGTTCCATATGACCTCAAGTTGCGCTATTCTGTTTCTCTCTGTAGCCCATATATTTAAATAATAATACATTTGATTTATCCACTGTCTTAACGATGGAGGGTCATTTGATTTCCAGTTTCTTTAAGCAAAAACATGTTCTAAATGATTGATGAGAAAAGTACAGTCCAACCCATTGGGTACATATCTCACCTCATCCTCATATGCCATGTCTTGAAATATGCAGATACAGATTAAGTACATTTATACTGTAAAGCTTGTGACAGCCAACTTTCTAATTCCGCCCAATACTTTTGGACTTTATAGCACTCCCACAAGGCATGAATCATTGAATTCCTCTTAGTTTTACACTTAAGACTCTGTCGTTGTGCTATAGAATTTGTGAATTTTGTCTCTTGTATAATATATTCTGTACATTAGTTTATACTGGATTAAGCGTACATTTTCGTTAACTGTCGTTAGTTATGTTCTTGGTTCCAATAGTTTATATTCTTTTTCTGAGAGATTGTCAGTTGGATAGGCTTTCTGCAAGGTTTTGTATATCTTACCTATCATATGAATATCATTTTCTGACTAAAAAAAATGTCCCTCAACATTAAGCTGATGTCCGAAAGATTTCAGATCGACATTTTCTGATATAAAACTTTTAAGTTGCATGTATTAGAAAATGTCTACATTGGTCAGTCCAAAATGGCTTTTTAATTCTGTTATGGAAATAATTGTATTTCCTATTATTATGTACTTTACGGTTTCTATGCCTTTAGTTTTCCATGTGGGACAATTTATCGATCAATTCTGAAAAGCTATCCAATGATTGTTCCATAGGGGTGTGTTTTTAGGGAGTGATATTAGTTCTTGTAGAATCCCTTTTATTTTCTTCCATATCATCAGTGTTCTTAACTATGAAGTTGTTAATGTTCTTAGCTCCATACCCTTTGAAAACAGACACGTGAAAAGATTCTGGGAAGAGAAGCTTCCTTGTTCACCATACAACGGGTAGGCAACGCTGGTCCTGGAGTACTGCACTTCATGGTTTTGATTTAACCGACTTGGAAGACCAATTGTGTTGAATTTAGGCAATCACTGAACTGATCAGTTGGTCAGGTGTGGCGCCTAGATAGAACAAAATCCTGCAGTACCTGCAGCACTCCAGGAACAGGGTGTCCTACCCCTGCCATACAATATTGTTTATACTGTAGGTTCAGCTCATGGTATATCACATATTTTCAGTGCAAACCAAGTGTTATCCTCAGCTCCTGTTGACTGCTGTATAGAAATGGCCAGCAGGTGTCACTAGCAGCTCATATACACTGCATGCTGTTACATTAAGCTTGAGGTAGAACCTTTTAACCACTGATCTCCCCCTTCCCCCCAATCCTAACCTCAACCATTGGGGGGTATTGTAAACATCTTACCCTGTGTCAATGGTTAGGGGCATTCTCTAGCTACACTGGTTAAAAAAGGTCATGTTTTTCTCTGCCTTAGGGCTTGGGTTTCTGCCTTACTATTATGTGGTCCTCTGTAGCTCAGCTGGTAGAGCACGGCGCTTGTAACGGCAAGGTAGTGGGTTCGATCCCCGGGACCACCCATACACAAAAAATGTATGCACGCATGACTGTAAGACGCTTTGGATAAAAGCATCTGCTAAATGGCATATTATTATTATTATTATTATTATTATTATATTATTATTATTTTGTTTAGTGTGTCAGTGAGAGTGGTGGGTAAATGGATGTGTCTGGGCTGTCCCCTGTAGAGATCTCTTAGTAGAGAGGGAGGAGGGGAGGTCTCAATACACTCCTAATTAGCTGGCCAATGCAATAACCCCAGCCTGTTATCATATTACTGCAGAATGTCTTTGTGTACTGAGAGACTGGGGAAGGGGGAGAATAAATGAGACCCCCCCCCCCCCCATCTTCTCAATATCCTCCTCACAGGGATTTCTGTCAACCTTTCCCTCTTTTTTTCCCCTGTCTACCTTTTCTCTTCTTATCCTTTGCCCCTTTCTTTCTCTTTCTCCAGCTCCCCTTCCTTCCTTGTATAGCTCCTTTCTCTCTCCTTCCTCTCTTCCTCACTCCATCCTTGTCCGTTGAGGCATGTAGTGGGTCTAAAATAGAAACTGCAGTGGACCTGACTGTTTAGGTTTGAATAATGCTTGCAGAGAGCTGAGCTGCAGTACATGCGCGTGAATACACCAGCCAACAGACAAGCTCTTACACATACTCCTGCACCTAACGGTGGCATACAGGGTTGAAGCCACTTACACACATTTACATTTTTACATTAATGTCATTTAGCAGACGCTCTTATCCAGAGCGACTTACAAATTGGTGCATTCACCTTATAGCCAGTGGGATAACTGGATTCCTTAAAGAGGTGGGGTTTCAAGTGTCTCCGGAAGGTGCTGTCCTGGCATCGTGAGGGAGCTTGTTCCACCAAAAAAAAAAAAAAAAAAAATTGGGGTGCAAGAGCAGCGAACAGTTTTGACTGGGCTGAGCGGGAACTGTGCTTCCGCAGAGGTAGGGGGGCCAGCAGGCCAGAGGTGGATGAACGCAATGCCCTCGTTTGGGTGTAGGGACTGATCAGAGCCTGAAGGTACGGAGGTGCTGTTCCCCTCGCAGCTCCGTAGGCAAGCACCATGGTCTTGTAGCAGAAGCGAGCTTCAACTGGAAGCCAGAGTGTGCGGAGGAGCGGGGTGACGTGAGAGAACTTGGGAAGGTTGAACACCAGACGTGCTGCGGCATTCTGGATGAGTTGTAGGGGTTTAATGGCACAGGCAGGGAGCCCAGCCAACAGCGAGTTGCAGTAATCCAGACGGGAGATGACAAGTGCCTGGATTAGGACCTGTGCCGCTTCCTGTGTAAGGCACACCTGGTCCACATATCCACATCACATTCTAAACTGGTGTAGAAGAGATGTGTTGCAACCCCTGCATGGCTTCTCTCCTGTGACTCTTTGAGGTCACTGCTGACATCACAAACTTACAAAAAGTCAAAGTTGAGCTGATAGAGAGAGGGCCTGAGGCTAAAGCTGCTCAGAGCAGACAGACAGATGGCCAGGAATTCCTCAGGGCAATTTTGTGTGTGTGTGTGTGTGTCTTGACCTTGAATACAGAACTATTCAATATTTTCCACTTCAATTTCAACCAGAATACATTTTGATAAATGTATATATTCATGAAAATAATTTGACAAAGTATGTCCATTTCAAAATGAAGGTTTTTGGAGGGGGACTGTGAGTGCATAAAATTCCACAGTTTCAAATTCCTTTTGAAGGCATTCCCAAATTTGAATGATTTTTCCTGTTTCTTGGTCTGCCGGCATGAAATTTATCCGTATTCTAATCCCTTTTTCCCCTCCGGTGGGAAAAGCCCATTTACGCTGCGGATCGCCAAACACTCACTAAATTAATTAGCCGCCTGTGTCCTTGGGCAGACCAGGTTTCTTTCTCTCTCTCTCCCTTCCTTCTTTCCTTCCTCTCTCCCTCTCTCCCTTTATGCTCCAATCCTCTCTGGGTCTAGTTCAGAGTGGCTGCAGGTTGAGGTAGAACAATGACAGGAGGATTTGAGAGTGACTGAAACTTAAAGAGCTCTTATAAAGCTTTTTTAATCTGTTTTTAATTTGATTTACAGTCTGCCTGGCTTCAGGCAGTTAGAAGGGGTGGAGTATGGCATAGAGGGGGAGTGTGTGTTTGTGCGCACCCATGCAGGATTAAGCAGTCCCATTCCAAAACACAGCTAGCAAGGGTTCCACATACGTCAGACAACCGCCGCAAGAAATCCAATTATTTAGACACCCCTCCAAGTGACTCCTTCACAAATCAATTATAAACTCCACCATGAATATTTAAATTAATCTAATTTCACATGCATTATTCTTCAATATGTTTCTGTGTCCATTCAGCTGTGTGAGTGTGTGTTGCAGAAACTGCTTGTATGGCAGAAACAATCAAATCCTAGAAGTGGTGAATCAATTCCTCTGTGTATAGATTACCCTTTCTGGCAGTTTTTTTCCAAACCCTGAAACCATACATACACTATACAAAAGTATGTGGACACCCCTTCAAATTAGTGGATCGGCTATTTCAGCCACACCCGTTGCTGACGGGTATATAAAATTGAGCACACAGCCATGCAATCTCCATAGACAAACATTGGCAGTAGAATGGCCTTACTGAAGAGCTCAGTGACTTTCAACGTGGCACCGTCATAGGATGCCACCTTTCCAACAAGTCAGTCACATTTCTGCCCTGCTAGAGCTGCCCCGGTCAACTGTAAGTGCTGTTACTGTGAAGTGGAAACGTCTAGGAGCAATAACAGCTCAGCCACAAAGTGGTAGTCCACACAAGCTCACAGAACGGGACCACCGAGTGCTGAAGCACGTAGCGCGTAAAAATCGTGTGTCCTCGGTTGCAACACTCACTACCGAGTTCCAAACTGCCTCTGGATGCAACGTCAGAACAAGAACTGTAGGTCGGGAGCTTCATGAAATGGGTTTCTATGGTCGAGCAGCCTCACACAAGCCTAAGATCACCATGCGCAATGCCAAGCATTGGCTGGAGTGGTGTAAAGCTCGCCGCCATTGGACTCTGGAGCAGTGGAAACAAGTTCTCTGGAGTGAGGAATCACTACTTCACCATCTGGCAGTTCGACGGATGAATCTGGGATGGGCGGATGCCAGGAGAACGCTACCTGCCCCAATGCATAGTGCCTACTGTAAAGTTTGGTGGAGGAGGAATAATGGTTTAGGCCTCTTAGTTCCAGTGAGAGGAAATCTTAACGCTACAGCATACAATGACATTCTAGACGATTCTGTGGTTCCAACTTTGTGGCAACAGTTTGGGGAAGGCCCTTTCCTGTTTCAGCATGACAATGCCCCCGTGCACAAAGCGAGGTCGAGATCGGTGTAGAAGAACTTGACTGGCCTGCACAGAGCCCTGACCTCAACCCATCGAACACCTTTGGGTTGAATTGGAACACAGACTGCGAGCCAGGCTTAATCGCCCAAAATCAGTGCCTGACCTCACTAATGCTCTTGTGGCTGAATGGAAGCAAGTCCCCGCAGCAATGTTCCAACATCTAGTGGAAAGCCTTTCCAGAAGAGTGGAGGCTGTTATAGCAGCAAAAGGGGGACCAACTCCATATTAATGCCCATGATTTTGGAATGAGATGTTCGACTAGCCATGTAGTGTACTTTTGGCCATGTAGAGTATGTGATTCTTTGTGTTCTGAGACTAAGTAGCAAGCCTAGTTTATCACATAATCTATACTCTCTCTCTCTGCCCGATTCTCTCTGTCTCTCTCTTGCTCTCTCGTACTGTCTTTTCAGCATAAATGACTAAACCATTTCGGTCCTCATAAAGGTCCCAGTGCTAGACCATCTCTATTCCTTTTCTCTCTCCTTTTTTTCCTTCCCTCCGTCTCTGTTGCTGAAAAGAACTGGTCTGCTCTTTTGAATGCTTGAGCAGGTAGAAGAGAGCGAGAGAGGATGATGAAAGGGAGAAAGAGGGGATGAATTGAGAGAGTGAGAATGAAAAACCTTTACAGAGAGAGAGAGAGAGACACTGCAGCTACCCTCCTCTCCATCAGCCCATCCCTCCCTCACATCCCCAGGTCTGCTGACTGGCCACCGGGGCTGTCTGTCACCCCTCAGCTAGGCTGGGATTGGCTAGTGGCACGGCAGTTCCTGGCACGTCATTGGTTGATCGGTGCAGTGGCGGAGGCTGGTTTCTGTGATGGTCTTGCTCTCCCTCCAACACAACACAGCACCACATACACAGAGACACCGGCAGATCTGACTCTCAGGCATCTATTTTTCTCTTTTCTCCTTCTGTTTTCAGTTTCAAAATGGAATTATTTATCCCTTTTTCTCTATTGGAGGATTTAGAATAGCAGAGTTGTTGTCGTGTGAGGAGGAGAGGAACCATTGAGGAGGAGTGGAGACATTCTGTTCATCAGTTTGCTGTGATCAGGCAGTATGTGTGTTTTGCTGCTGAGGTGTGAGTACTCATGTCACCTCTAAAAGGTGTGTTGTGTGTATAGTTGATTCTACTGACTGGCTACACTTGGGATTGACTTTGATTCCTCTACCTGAACCCCTTTCCTGAAACTACAGCAGGCAACCGTGAGAGAGGGTGCTGGTCTTACAACTCTTTATCTTTCTCTGTGGATTGGACCAGTATCTTGAAGGAGCGTATAGTTGAACAAACTGTCATCCCCTCTCACCGTGGATTAGGACAGTGTTTTTGAAGCATCTTTACCTTGCCTGTACATAAGTGGACTGAGCTGAGGGTAGGTCTCTACTCAGGCCTGACTGATACATTTTTACATTTAACATTTTAGTATTTAGTAGACACTCTTATCCAGAGCTACTAACAGTAGTGAGTGCATACATTTTCATACTTTTTGTACTTGTCCATGGGAATCAAACCCACAACCCTGGCATTGCAAGCGCCATGCTCTACCAACTGAGCCACACGGGACATACAGTACTATACATACTAGTGACACTGTTCATTTATTCTATGGTCATGTCCAGTCACTGTGGTCCTACTGAACCTTATTCCTCTCTCTCCTTCCAGTCTCCATCTGCGGTCTTGTTATGGTCATGTGTGCAGTGGAGTCAGGTGTTAGTGGTTGTGTTGACCGTGATCCCATCTCTTTTTTCCCAGTCTGTCTGCAGCAGGAGTGGGTTTTATCCTGGTCATTGACCGGCGACAGGACCGATGGACAGCCGTCAAGGCGACCCTGCTCCGCATTGCCGTAAGTAACCGTGTGTGTCTGGCTTTATAAGGGGGAGTGTGTCTTTTGTGTCTATGCCTCTATGTGTGTGAAATACATTTCTTTAATCATGTGTTGAGTGGAGCAGCAGGTTTGAGAGGCCCCATCCTTACACTGTCAGCCAGAGGGCAGAGGGGGTTTGGCAGACAAGAGGTGTCAGAACACCTCCTCCTCTTCTCAGAGCTCTACATCTGTGCCACAACGGAGGGATTAATATCACAACTGCCCTAGGGGGCAGATATGAACCTACCCCCCCACATACACACACACACACACACAGGCACCAGCCGATTCAGCCCTGTTACTCCCCTGCCTCGGGGGCAGAATAAACAGCCAAAACAAGGAGGATGAGAGAGATGAGAGAGATGTGTTCTCCCCACATTACAAGAAAGCATGCTGGAAGGATAGTGTCTTTTTAGTTTCACACTGTAAACCATGTTTTGATGAATACTGTATGAATAATCTATAGAAAATGTGTAGATACAGAATGGGGACAAATGGCACAAAGCTTACTCCACAGGAAAACACTGACACTGACTTTAATGGATAAAGATGGAAAGAAATCTTAGGTCTGTGTGTGTTTCCCATGCTGTGATAGTGATGAGGTAGCTGTTGTATCTCTCTCGAGCCCCACTAAACTCTCTCTCCTCATTTCACTCACTCTCTTTGTTTCAGCTACTATCTCTTTGTTCATATCTTCCTTCATCCCTTTTCTCTCTCTTTCAATTCATTTATGCCACTTTACAGATATATACTATCTTAATTTGACCAGTTTCTCACAGCAGGAAAATAATCCTACAGTAACAAGAAATGTGAATTATTATGTGGATTATAAATAAAGGCTGACTGCCCTTCGTGATTTAGCCTCATGCTAGTGACCATGGCTGAATTCAAATGTGAGTTGGTATCGGGGTGTGGTTTGATGTGGGTGTCTCGCGTGTGTTCACATGTGGTAAGAGTTAGCCAAAATATTTTGGCAATTAGCTTCAGCCGGCTGGTGTGCGACTGTGGCAAAGTTGGTTTGACTTTGGATAGCCTATCTCTGGGTATAGTTAGGGACCATCAATAAATAACACTATGTAAATGGGACAATATTTTAATGTTGCACATATTTTAGTTGTCTCATTAAATGCTTTCAATATTTGTATATGAATTTCTACAATTTTATAGTTGGTTTGAGGTTTTTAAATCATTGAAATTTGGAGCTATTGACCTTTTAAAAATATTGTCCCATGTACATTGTGTAATTTACTGATGGTCCCTAACTAGCCCCATAGGGAAATCGAATGTCACACCAAATTGACCATGGGCATTATGATCGGGGCGTGTGCAGCTGCGCTCTGAATTGATAATTACTTGGGTGCTGCCAGCTGTGGGCATGTGGCCAGGATTCAAATAAACCCAACCTAGGAAAACTGTTACGGTACCCTTCATTCCGTGACATACCATTTTTTCCTATCATCTCATAAATCTCAGTTTTGGACGAGACTGACTTTATGACCAAAACTATCCTATTTACAAAGTTTGTAGTCAATTTTGACATTAGAATAAATGTTTCTGACTTATATCGATGCGACATAGGCTGTTTTCAAAAAGAGAAGTTGCGTTTTAGGGGCAGTTGCAATTTAATGGACATTTGTGTAGGGGTTGTTACGATAAATCAAGTCTGACATTTTAAAGTGGAAATTACCAACTTTAGAAGCCTTTTTAAACCTTTAATACACTACAGTTTGCATTTCCTGCTGTGCAGGAAAATTCTCTGTGACAACAAAGTGATCAAATTAAGATAGACGCATTGGTAGTTTAGCAACAAAACCAACATGTGCGCAACTATGGGGCAAAACAGACAGGGTTGGCTTAGATTGTTGATAACAGGTCAACTATATTTTGTCTCCAAATGTTTGTTGAAAACAAATACATTTGCACAATGAGCACTTGTTGTCTCTCAAATACATCGTTACAGTTGTTGGTTAGCTAGCTAGCAAATTTGAGCCGTATTAGCATAGACTTGACATCAGTCAAAACACCTCAAAACAAGACATGGTATCAATAACAAAATACAACGAGCTGAAACTAGCCACCTACTATTCCCCACATGGCAGCTTCTTGTCATTGTTGCCAGATATCTGACCGTTAAGAATCATACCAACGCACGCCTTGCAGCCACATCAATGCGCGTGCATCATTTTCGTGACATTGTCAGCAGATCTGTATATCACCCCTTATCTTTCCATTGCTCTCTCCTTTAGGCCTTTGTGGTTCAGAATGAGGAGAATGTGTAAAAGAAAAGATGATCGAGGGAGTCTTTTCTCTCTCTTTCTCTTCAGCCTGTTGTTTCCTCTCCAGTCACAACTGGTGTCTCTCTTGCTCTCTCACTCCCTGTTTCCTGCTAGATGACAGATTGCTGGCAGCTGAATACAGTGTGTGAGCTGTGAGGGATATTATCTCTGCATTGGTGATTAGCTTTCAAAGTGTGTTTGTTTATTTGTGCTGAGTTGATACATGGTTTTAGCGCCTTATTAATAGCACAGGATTTCCAATTGCTTTTTTTGTTCACAATTACAACACCATTTATGAGATCCTTCAGAACTTTATTAAGTAAGTAACTATATGGACCTGCATCATTCATATTTATTTTAATCAATACCTACAGTGGGGAGAACAAGTATTTGATACACTGCCGATTTTGCAGGTTTTCCTACTTACAAAGCATGTAGAGGTCTGTCATTTTTTATCATAGGTACACTTCAACTGTGAGAGACGGAATCTAAAACAAAAATCCAGAAAATCACATTGTATGATTTTTAAGAAATTAATTTTGCATTTTATTGCATGACATAAGTATTTGATCACCTACCAACCAGTTAAGAATTCCGGCTCTCACAGACCTGTTAGTTTTTCTTTAAGAAGCCCTCCTGTTCTCCACTCATTACCTGTATTAACTGCACCTGTTTGAACTCGTTACCTGTATAAAAGACACCTGTCCACACACTCAATCAAACAGACTCCAACCTCTCCACAATGGCCAAGACCAGAGAGCTGTGTAAGGACATCAGGGATAAAATTGTAGACCTGCACAAGGCTGGGATGGGCTACAGGACAATAGGCAAGCAGCTTGGTGAGAAGGCAACAACTGTTGGCGCAATTATTAGAAAATGGAAGAAGTTCAAGATGACGGTCAATCACCCTCGGTCTGGGGCTCCATGCAAGATCTCACCTCGTGGGGCATCAATGATCATGAGGAAGGTGAGGGATCAGCCCAGAACTACACGGCAGGACCTGGCCAATGACCTGAAGAAAGCTGGGACCACAGTCTCAAAGAAAACCATTAGTAACACACTACGCCGTCATGGATTAAAATCCTGCAGCGCACGCAAGGTCCCCCTGCTCAAGCCAGCGCATGTCCAGGCCCGTCTGAAGTTTGCCAATGACCATCTGGATGATCCAGAGGAGGAATGGGAGAAGGTCATGTGGTCTGATGAGACAAAAATAGAGCTTTTTCGTCTAAACTCCACTCGCCGTGTTTGGAGGAAGAAGAAGGATGAGTATAACCCCAAGAACACCATCCCAACCGTGAAGCATGGAGGTGGAAACATCATTATTTGGGGATGCTTTTCTGCAAAGGGGACAGGACGACTGCACCGTATTGAGGGGAAGATGGATGGGGCCATGTATCGCGAGATCTTGGCCAACAACCTCCTTCCCTCAGTAAGAGCATTGAAGATGGGTCGTGGCTGGGTCTTCCAGCATGACAACGACCCGAAACACACAGCCAGGGCAACTAAGGAGTGGCTCCGTAAGAAGCATCTCAAGGTCCTGGAGTGGCTTAGCCAGTCTCCAGACCTGAACCCAATAGAACATATTTGGAGGGAGCTGAAAGTCCATATTGCCCAGCGACAGCCCCGAAACCTGAAGGATCTGGAGAAGGTCTGTATGGAGGAGTCGGCCAAAATCCCTGCTGCAGTGTGTGCAAACCTGGTCAAGACCTACAGGAAACGTATGATCTCTGTAATTGCAAACAAAGGTTTCTGTACCAAATATTAAGTTCTGCTTTTTTGATGTATCAAATACTTATGTCATGCAATAAAATGCAAATTAATTACTTAAAAATCATACAATGTGATTTTCTGGATTTTTGTTTTAGATTCCGTCTCTCACAGTTGAAGTGTACCTATGATAAAAATTACAGATCTCTACATGCTTTGTAAGTAGGAAAACCTGCAAAATCGGCAGTGTATCAAATACTTGTTCTCCCCACTGTATATCCTAAGTGCTGTTTAACCCCATATGACTGCATTCTTGGTTTCAGCACCACCGTTATGTGGACAGAGCTGTCTCACTCACACACACACAGAATAATTGACACAAAAGCCTCATCTTAGAGTTTCACTGAACTGAAGAGAATGTGTGGCAGAGAGATGATTATCCTAGACAGAGGAAGATATATAGAGAGCGATGAATATGAACACCCAGGCTCCACTGGGACATGGAATGCTCCCTCCCTCATTTCAAATTGAAAGCTTTATTAATCCCACAAGGGGGGGCATTACAGCCTGACAGGCTGGTAATGGGAGGCATGTAGTGCATTGCCATGCATGGGTGGTTTTCAGACTGGGAGAGACAGGCAGAGAGATGGGGAGAGAGCAGCAGTTGTTTATGGTGTGGTCCCTAATTAAAAGCCTATAGGGTTACTTTGGTTTCACTCACTCCCTAGAGACATACTGTCTACACTCCCACTCACCAGCCTGATGTGTGTGCACGTGTGCGTGTGTATACCTGTCTGTTTCTACTGTTTTCGACCAGAACCAGTGGGCCATGACCGCAATTACCAACCCACCAGGGGCGTCCAGTCAGAAGGTTACGGTCGAACGGTTACAACCCTCATCTGGGAGTCAGACTAGTTCCTTATATATACGGTCTTCTAAATCCACCCAACCACCCTTTTCAAAACAACTTCTACTGAATTGCATTACATTCATTTCTTCCTCTGCCTTGCTTGTTTCCAGCGGATGTTGTGGTTTTGTAGGGTACATTGCTAGTGAATGGCCAGTTTCTTTCATAGTGACTGTACTGTAGTGTCAAAGGTCATTAAGAGCTCTCTCTAGTTGGGCTGCAGAGAGGAACAGTTTATAAATTCATTCATTCCATTAAGTTTGTGTATTCCCTACTGGAGTCTTAGATCTGTCATTTCTGCTTAGGCCAGCGTTCTCTGTCTCTCTCCAATCAATCAAACCCCTGTGTGTGTGTGTGTGTGTGTGTGTGTGTGTGTGTGTGTGTGTGTGTGTGTGTGTGTGTGTGTGTGTGTGTGTGTGTGTGTGTGTGTGTGCTACATTAACTTACGCATCAATTCTGTAATGGGAATCTGTCCCCACCACCGGCTAAAGCAATAATATTGATCTTGCTGTGGCTTTATGTGTACAGTTTGAGTCTTACCTCATCAGAACTAGCAGGCTTCAGGGATATACACTGTATGCTAATTTGGCTCTGAATTATAATGTCTCGGGGTCTGCTTTTTAATAGTCTCTCTCTGACCCGCCAAGGTCTTTGTCTCTCAGCTTTATTCTACCCTTAAAGTGTGTGTGTGTGTGTGTGTGCGCGTGCATGTGAGTGATAGCTGCTACATTATGAATGCAGTGGCATCTTGGTAAATGTCACTGCCTGCTATCCTGAGGTATCAAATGTCCTTATTATGCCTTTCACTGATACCTGTGTGTGTGTGTGTGTGTGTGTGTGTGTGTGTGTGTCCATGCCTATGTGTCTCACAGGATGTCTCTTACTATTGGGTTGTCTAGACTGAGAGCAAAGGGGGATGCAGTCTACTCCTGTATTATAGAAGTTCATCCACCCTTCTCTCTACCTCATCCCACTCTCTACCCCTCTCCCCTCTCTTTCTTCCCCTCTCTCTGTGTGTAGGGTTCGTTCCCAGGGAACCTGCAGTTGGTTCTGGTATTGAGGCCCACCACCTTATTCCAGAGGACTCTCTCAGACATCCTGTTCAAGTTCAACAAGGATGAGTTCAAGATGAAGGTGCCGGTACGTACAGACAGCAGCCGACGGACGCACGCACGCACGCACGCACCACCACACACACACACACACACACACACACACACACACACACACACACACACACACACACACACACACACACAGACACATTCATAGACTACATTCACCATTTACGTTTTTCTATCCTAAATTGATGCTTGTGTGTGTGTAGGTGATTATGCTGAGTTCTGTGACTGAGCTCCACTCCTACATAGACCGGACACAACTGACTACTGAGCTGGGAGGAACCCAGGAGTACTGCCACGAGAAGTGGATCTCACACCGCACTGTGAGTAAACACACACACAAGTGCTGCAAAGAAGACCTAGTTAAGCTGCAGTTGGCCCAGAACAGAGTTGCACGTCTTGCTTTTCATTGTAATCAGAGGGCTAATATTAATTATATGCATTCCAGTCTCTCTTGGCTAAGAGTTGAGGAAAGACTGACTGTGTCACTTCTTGTTTTTATAAGAAACATTAATGTGTTGGAAATTCCTAATTGTTTGCATAGTCAACTTACATACACACTTACCCCACCAGACATGCCAACAGGGGTCTTTTCACAGTCCCCAGGTACAGAACAAATTCAAGGAGAAAAGTACAGTATTATACAGAGCCATGAGTGCATCGAACTCCCTTCCATCTTATGTAGCGCAAGTGAACAGCAAACCTGGTATAAAAAAACAAATAAATCAACACCTCACGGCACAATGACTCTTCCCCAATGTGACCTACTTGTTGTGTGTATGTACTGACATGTACAGTTGAAGTCGGAAGTTTACATACACCTTAGCCAAATACATTTAAACTCAGTTTTTCACAATTCCTGACATTTAATCCTAGGGAACGTTCCCTGTCTTAGGTCAGTTAGGATCACCACTTTATTTTAAGAATGTGAAATGTCAGAATAATAGTAGAGAGAATGAATTATTTCAGGTTTTATTTCTTTCATCACATTCCCAGTGTGTCAGAAGTTTACATACACTCAATTAGTATTTTGTAAAATTGCCATTAAATTGTTTAACTTGGGTCAAGCGTTTCAGGTAGCCTTCCACAAGCTTCCCACAATAAGTTGGGGGAATTTTGGCCCATTCCTCCTGACAGACCTGGTGTAACTGAGTCAGGTTTGAAGGCCTCTATAGGATTGAGGTCAGGGCTTTGTGATGGCCACTCCAATACCTTAACTTTGTTGTCCTTAAGCCATTTTGCCACAACTTTGGAAGTTTGGAAGACCCATTTGCGACCAAGCTTTAACTTCCTGACTGATGTCTTGAGATGTTGCTTCAATATATCCACATAATTTTCCTTCCTCATGATGCCATCTATTTTGTGAAGCATGCACCAGTCCCTCTTGCAGCAAAGCACCCCCACAGCATGATGCTGCCACCCCGTGCTTCACAGTTGGGATGGTGTTCTTCGGCTTGCAAGCACCCCCTTTTTCCTCCAAATATAACAATGGTCATTATGGCCAAACAGTTCTATTTTTGTTTCATCAGACCAGAGGACATTTCTCCAAAAAAAATTGATCTTTGTCCCCATGTGCAGTTGCAACCCGTAGTCTGGCTTTTTTATGGTGGTTTTGGAGCAGTGGCTTCTTCCTTGCTGAGCGGCCTTTCAGATTATGTCGATATAGGACTCGTTTTACTGTGGATATAGATACTTTTGTACCTGTTTCCTCCAGCATCTTCACAAGGTCCTTTGCTGTTGTTCTGGGATTGATTGCACTTTTCGCACCAAAGTACGTTAATCTCTAGGAGACAGAACCCGTCTCTTTCCTGAGCGGTATGACTGCTGCGTGGTCCCATGGTGTTTATACTTGCGTACTATTGTTTGTACAGATGAATGTGGTACCTTCAGGTGTTTGGAAATTGCTCCCAAGGATGAACCAGACTTGTGGAGGTCTACAAATTTTTTTCTGAGGTCTTGGCTGATTTCTTTAGATTTTCCCATGATGTCAAGCAAAGAGGCACTGAGTTGAAGGTAGGCCTTGAAATACATCCACAGGTTCACCTCCAATTGACTCAAATGATGTAAATTAGCCTATCAGAAGCTTCTAAAGCCATGACATAATTCTCTGGAATCTTCCTAGAGCTGGCCGTTTGGCCAAACTGAGCAATCGGGGACAAGGTTCTTGGTCAGGGAGGTGACCAAGAACCCGATGGTCACTCTGACAGACCTCCAGAGTTCCTCTGTGAAGATGGTAGAACCTTCCAGAAGAACAACCATCTCTGCAGCACTCCACCAATCAGGCCTTTATGGTAGAGTGTCCAGACGGAAGCTACTCCTCAGTAAGAGGCACATGACAGCCCGCTTGGAGTTTGCCAAAAGGCACCTAAAGGACTCTCAGAACATGAGAAACAAGATTCTCTGGTCTGATGAAACCAAGATTGAACTCTTTGGCCTGAATGCCAATCGTCACATCTGGAGGAAACCTGGCACCATCCCTACGGTGAAGCATGGTGGTGGCAGCATAATGCTGTGGGGATGTTTTTCATCGGCAGGGACTGGGAGACTAGTCAGGATCGAGGGAAAGATGAACAGAGCAAAGTACAGAGAGATCCTTGATGAAAACCTGCTCCAGAGTGCTCAGGACCTCCGTCTGGGGCGAAGGTTCACCTTTCAACAGGACAACGTCCCTAAGCACACAGCCAAGACAACGCAGGAGTGGCTTTGGGACAAGTCTCTGAATGTCCTTGAGTGGCCCAGCCAGAGCCCAGACTTGAACCCGATCTAACATCTCTGGAGAGACTTAAAAATAGCTGTACAGCGACGCTCCCCATCCAACCTGACAGAGCTTGAGAGGATCTGCAGAGAAGAATGAGAGAAACTCCCCAAATACAGGTGTACCAAACTTGTAGCGTCATTCCCAAGACGACTCGAACTGTAATCGCTGCCAAAGGTGCTTCAACAAAGTACTGAGTAAAGGGTCTGAATACTTATGTAAATGAACTATTTTAGTTTTATTTAGTTTTTTTAAATGAGCAAAAATTTATTAAAACCTGTTTTTGCTTTGTAATTATGGGTATTGTGTGTAGATTGATGAGGGGAAAAAACTATTTAATCAATTTTAGAATAAGGCTGTAACGTAACAAAATGTGGAAAAAGTCAAGGGGTCTGAATACTTTCCGAATGCACTGTATATGTAACTGATAGATACACACATACACACACTACATGTTAATGTTTTTTAATGTATGTAAATTGTAAAGTATTTTGTCTGTAATGTATTTTTCGTTATGTGTCGGACCCCAGTAAGACTAGCTGTTGAAAAGGTGAATGTAAGAAGTGAACATCATTTCAAATAGGCTACATGTGATATTAAACTGCATTTAAACACACTAAATACAGTGGGGGAAAAAAGTATTTAGTCAGCCACCAATTGTGCAAGTTCTCCCACTTAAAAAGATGAGAGAGGCCTGTAATTTTCATCATAGGTACACGTCAACTATGACAGACAAAATGAGAAAAAAAAATCCAGAAAATCACATTGTAGGATTTTTTAATGAATTTATTTGCAAATTATGGTGGAAAATAAGTATTTGGTCAATAACAAAAGTTTCTCAATACTTTGTTATATACCCTTTGTTGGCAATGACACAGGTCAAACGTTTTCTGTAAGTCTTCACAAGGTTTTCACACACTGTTGCTGGTATTTTGGCCCATTCCTCCATGCAGATCTCCTCTAGAGCAGTGATGTTTTGGGGCTGTCGCTGGGCAACACGGACTTTCAACTCCCTCCAAAGATGTTCTATGGGGTTGAGATCTGGAGACTGGCTAGGCCACTCCAGGACCTTGAAATGCTTCTTACGAGACCACTCCTTCGTTGCCCGGGCGGTGTGTTTGGGATCATTGTCATGCTGAAAGACCCAGCCACGTTTCATCTTCAATGCCCTTGCTGATGGAAGGAGGTTTTCACTAAAAATCTCACGATACATGGCCCCATTCATTCTTTCCTTTACACGGATCAGTCGTCCTGGTCCCTTTGCAGAAAAACAGCCCCAAAGCATGATGTTTCCACCCCCATGCTTCACAGTAGGTATGGTGTTCTTTGGATGCAACTCAGCATTCTTTGTCCTCCAAACACGACGAGTTGAGTTTTTACCAAAAAGTTCTATTTTGGTTTCATCTGACCATATGACATTCTCCCAATCCTCTTCTGGATCATCCAAATGCACTCTAGCAAACTTCAGACGGGCCTGGACATGTACTGGCTTAAGCAGGGGGACACGTCTGGCACTGCAGGATTTGAGTCCCTGGCGGCGTAGTGTGTTACTGATGGTAGGCTTTGTTACTTTGGTCCCAGCTCTCTGCAGGTCATTCACTAGGTCCCCCCGTGTGGTTCTGGGATTTTTGCTCACCGTTCTTGTGATCATTTTGACCCCACGGGGTGAGATCTTGCGTGGAGCCCCAGATCGAGGGAGATTATCAGTGGTCTTGTATGTTTTCCATTTCCTAATAATTGCTCCCACAGTTGATTTCTTCAAACCAAGCTGCTTACCTATTGCAGATTCAGTCTTCCCAGCCTGGTTTAGGTCTACAATTTTGTTTCTGGTGTCCTTTGACAGCTCTTTGGTCTTGGCCATAGTGGAGTTTGGAGTGAGACTGTTTGAGGTTGTGGACAGGTGTCTTTGATACTGATAACAAGTTCAAACAGGTGCCATTAATACAGGTAACGAGTGGAGGACAGAGGAGCCTCTTAAAGAAGAAGTTACAGGTCTGTGAGAGCCAGAAATCTTGCTTGTTTGTAGGTGACCAAATACTTATTTTCCACCATAATTTGCAAATAAAGTCATTAAAAATCCTACAATGTGATTTTCTGGATTTTTTTTCTCAATTTGTCTGTCATAGTTGACGTGTACCTATGATGAAAATTACAGGCCTCTCTCATCTTTTTAAGTGGGAGAACTTGCACAATTGGTGGCTGACTAAATACTTTTTTCCCCCACTGTAAATGCGCATATAGGCTGTGACTTACTTAGAATTAAATACAAATTAAACGAAAAATTACTTATTAGTACCTTTGAATTCATTTTTAGAATTCATTTTTAGAAACACAAGTTTGGCCAGTCTGTGGCTTCAGGCCAGCAGCGGAGAATATCATCTCCACACTTGCAGAGCCACTGGGGATGCTAAACACCCTTTTGGCCACTCTGCCAGGCTGGGCAGTAATGCAGTAATGCAGTAATGCAGTTTTCTTTTTATTTAGATAGGCCTAAAGGTTTTTAGGCAAAAAAACCCAATCAAAACGGAAATCTCCTTGAACGTTTGGAATATGCCAGGCCTATTGGGCCAAAATCAATGATGGCCTACTGTAAAGATAATAGAACGAAAATGAACGAAACGTTTAAGAGATCTGATTTATAAATACTTTGCTACAATGACACACTTAGTTATCTACCCACCTCGTTCATTTCTTTTAGCATGTACACATAGTAAGTAGACCATCATGCTTTTGGGATAAGTGTCTTTTCAGATTCCACAATGATTCTTTAGATGTGGACACTCCATCACCGCTCTTGGTCCTCATTTTTGTAAGCCACCTTGATTTAGCACCTGTGTGTTTTATCAGTTTCTTTATGAAAATATTTAGCGAACTCCATGACAGTAGCTAAAGCAAGGGGCTATAGCAGGACACAAGAAGACTACAACTGCATGCTGGGCCGTGCATGCCCTGAACTGAAGTGAGCGCTACTGGAGCGAAATTGGAGCGGGCGAGAAGGCCGACGCTCCAGCCTTTGGGAATCTCACTCCACTCTCCAGTCAAATTGGGCACGCTCTGCTCCGCTCCGCTCACATACTCTGGCATGGGCTAATGGGGATCCTAATTCATCAAAATCAAACACACACACACAGAGATACACATCCAGCAAACAAACAACCAACAAATACACAGTGAACACACAACATAAACACTAGAACCATGGCCCAGTTCCCTAGTGTTGGACTAATAACCTTTTTCCCAGTCAAGCTATGCATGTTATTATCTAACAATGTATTATATCCATCTGTGTGAAGGCCATTGAGGGCTTTGCTCTGATGGTAAAGAGAACAGCTCAGATCCTGCAGTCGTTTGGGACAAAGCTAGCAGAGACTGAACTACCCAACGACATCCAGGCTACCAGCAACCTACTGGGGACACACACCAACAAGAAGAGCAAGATGAAGGTACAGAGCACACACACACACTCTCCTCCAGGAAGATGAATACACAAAATAATATGATGGGTTAAATCTACGTAAATCATTGTCTTATTGTCTTTATCCCACACCACTGATATCAGCGTGATGGTGTTGGTGTGTGGATCTGATTCCCCTGATGTGTTTGTGCCTCCAGGAGGATCTGCTGGTGGCTTTAGGACAGGGCAGCAGACTGTTGGAGAGTATTAATGAACCAGTGGTTAGAGACCCAGACCACAACATGAACCAGGACGAACTGGAGAACCTGGCCACCGTACAGAGGTTAGAACACACTGGGAACCATGAACACTGGGGTTAGAACACACACTGCGAACCTTGAACACTGGGGTTGGAAAAGATGGCGCCGGAGGGGATGGCTGCCGTTTTATGGACTCTTAACCAACTGTGCTATTTTGTGTGTTTTTTCGCATTGTTTGTAACTTATTTTGTACATAATTTTGCTGCTACCGTCTCTTATGACCGAAAAGAGCTTCTGGACATCAGAACAGCGATTACTCACCTTGAACTGGACGAATAATTTTTCTTAAATGAGTCGGACAAGAGGGATTTTCTCCAGACACCCGACAGGGCCCTCATCCCCGTCATTCGCAGTAGAAAGAAAAGGAGATATCGCGGAAGGAGAACGGGGTGCTTGGTAAGGAGCCGGCGACGAGTGGCTAACCTGCCTTTGCCATCGATGCTATTGGCCAATTTACAATCGCTTGATGATAAAGTGGACGAACTACAGGAACAAATATCCTACCAACGGGACATTAAAAACGGTAATATCTTATGTTTCACTGAGTCGTGGCTGAACGAAGACGTGAATAACATACAGCTGGCTGGTTATACACTGTATCGGCAGGATAGAACAGCAGCCTTGTAAGACAAGGGGTGGCGGTCTATGTATATTCGTAAACAACAGCTGTTGCACGATATCTAAGGAAGTCTTGAGGTTTTGCTCGCCTGAGGTTAAGTATCTCATGATAAGCTGTAGACCACACTATGTACCAAGAGAGTTTTCATCTATATTCTTCGTAGCTGTCTATTTACCACCACAAACCGATGCTGGCACTAAGACCGCACTCAATGAACTGTATACGGCCATAAGCAAACAGGAAAACACTCATCCAGAGGCGGCGCTCCTAGTGGCCGGGGACTTTAATGCAGGGAAACTTAAATCTGTTTTACCTCATTTCTACCAGCATGTTAAATGTGCAACCAGAGGGGAAAAAAAACTCTAGACCACGTTTACTCCACACACAGAGACGCATACAAAGCTCTCCCTCGTCCTCCATTTGGCAAATCTGACCATAATTCTATCCTCCTGATTCCTGCTTACAAGCAAAAACTAAAGCAGGAAGCACCAGTGACTCGGTCAATAAAAAAGTGGTCAGATGAAGCAGATGCTAAGCTACAGGACTGTTTTGCTAGCACAGACTGGAATATGTTCCGGGATTCTTCCGATGGCATTGAGGAGTACACCACATCAGTCACTAGCTTCATCAATAAGTGCTTCGATTACGTCGCCCCCACAGTGACTGTACCTACATACCCCAACCAGAAGCCATGGATTACAGGCAACATCCGCACTGAGCTAAAGGATAGAGCTGCCGCATTCAAGGAGCGGGACTCTAACCCGGAAGCTTATAAGAAATCCCGCTATGCCCGCCGACAAACCATCAAACAGGCAAAGCGTCAATACAGGACTAAGATCGAATCGTACTACACCGGCTCCGACGCTCGTCGGATGTGGCAGGGCTTGCAAACTATTACAGACTACAAAGGGAAGCACAGCCGTGAGCTGCCCAGTGACACGAGCCTACCAGATGAGCTAAATTACTTCTATGCTCGCTTCGAGGCAAGTAACACTGAAACATGCATGAGAGCATCAGCTGTTCCGGACGACTGTGTGATCACACTCTCCGTAGCCGATGTGAGTAAGACCTTTAAACAGGTCAACATTCACAAGGCCGCAGGGCCAGACAGATTACCAGGAAGTGTACTCCGAGCATGCGCTGACCAACTGGCAAGTGTCTTCACTGACATTTTCAACCTGTCTGAGTCTGTAATACCAATATGTTTCAAGCAGACCACCATAGTCCCTGTGCCCAAGAACACTAAGGTAACCTGCCTAAATGAATACCGACCCGTAGCACTCACATCTGTAGCCATGAAGTGCTTTGAAAGGCTGGTCATGGCTCACATCAACACCATTATCCAAGAAACCCTAGACCCACTCCAATTTGCATACCGCCCAACAGATCCACAGATGATGTAATCTCTATTGCGCTCCACACTGCCCTTTCACACCTGGACAAAAGGAACACCTATGTGAGAATGCTATTCATTGACTACAGCTCAGTGTTCAACACCATAGTGCCCTCAAAGCTCATCACTAAGCTAAGGACCCTGGGACTAAACACCTCCCTCTGCAACTGGATCCTGGACTTCCTGACGGGCCGCACCCAGGTGGTAAGGGTAGGTAACAACACATCCGCCACGCTGATTCTCAACACGGGGGCCCCTCAGGGGTGCGTGCTCAGTCCCATCCTGTACTCCCTGTTCACTCATGACTGCATGGCCAGGCACGATTCCAACACCATCATTAAGTTTGCCGATGACACAACAGTGGTAGGCCTGATCACCGACAACGACAAGACAGCCTATAGGGAGGAGGTCAGAGACCTGGCCGTGTGGTGCAACCTCTCCCTCAACGTGATCAAGACAAAGGAGATGATTGTGGACTACAGGAAAAAGAAGAGGACCGAGCACGCCCCCATTCTCATCAACAGGGCTGTAGTGGAGCAGGTTGAGAGTTTCAAGTTCCTTGGTGTACACATCACCAACAAACTAACATGGTCCAAGCACACCAAGACAGTCGTGAAGAGGGCACGACAAAACCTATTCCCCCTAAGGAGACTGAAAAGATTTGGCATGGGTCCTCAGATCCTCAAAAGGTTCTACAGCTGCACCATCGAGAGCATCCTGACTGGTTGCATCCCTGCCTGGTATGGCAACTGCTCAGCCTCCGACATCAAGGCACTACAGAGGGTAGTGCGTACGGCCCAGTACATCACGTGGTCCTCAGTAGCTCAGCTGGTAGAGCACGGCGCTTGTAACGCCAAGGTAGTGGGTTCGATCCCCGGGACCACCCAAACACAAAAAAATAAAAATAAATGTATGCACGCATGACTGTAAGTCGCTTTGGATAAAAGCGTCTGCTAAATGGCATATTATTATTATTATTATTATTATTATTATCACTGGGGCCAAGCTTCCTGCCATCCAGGACCTCTATACCAGGCGGTGTCAGAGGAAGGCCCTAAAAATTGTCAAAGACTCCAGCCACCCCAGTCATAGACTGTTCTCTCTGCTACCGCATGGCAAGCGGTACAGGAGCGCCACGTCTAGGTCCAAGAGGCTTCTAAACAGCTTCTACCCCCAAGCCATAAGACTCCTGAACATCTAATCAAATGGCTACCCAGACTATTTGCATTGCCCCCCTCTTTTACGCTGCTGCTACTCTCTGTTTATTATCTATGTATAGTCACTTTAATAACTCTACCTACATGTACATATTACCTCAATTAACTCGACTAGCCACATTGACTCGGTACCGGTACTCCCTGTATATAGCCTCGCTATTGTTATTTTTACTGCTGCTCTTTAATTATTTGTTACTTTTATTTCGTATTATTTTATATTGTATTTTTTTGTGATTTTTTTGGGGGGGGGTATTCTTTCTTAAAACTGCATTGTTGGTTTAGGGCTTGTAAGTAAGCATTTCACTGTAAGGTCTACATCTGTTGTATTCGGCGCATGTGACATAATATTTGATTTGATTAGAACACACACTGGGAACCTTGAACACTGGGGTTAGAACACACACTGAGAACCTAGAACACTGGGGTTAGAACACACTCAGGGACCTTGAACACTGGGGTTAGAACACACACTAGGAACCTAGAACATTTGGGTAGAACACACACACTAGGATTCTAGAACATTGGGGTTAGAACACACTTAGGGCACCTAGAACACATGGTTCAGAGATACACAGGAAATCTAGAACACTGGAGAGCTTGATGAACGCAAGAGGTTAGAACACACACCAGCTTTTGCTCATCACCATGATAAGGACTGGCAGTGCTGGGTCATCTGAGGTCAGAAGGAGTATTTTGGGGAACACTGGTGACAGAGAAGCCAACACAGGCTGGCACCTTTCACATTCAACTCAGTAGAGTGAGCAAAACACACACAGAGGAATAGCAGAAAGTGTCTCCTCTTTTCTAATCTTCTCTCCCTCTTTCTCTCAATCTCTCTTTTCCTGGCCCCATCTCTCTCTTTCACCCCCTCTGCCCCATCTCTCCCTCTCTCTCTTACCCTTTCACCATCTTTCCCTCCCCATCTCTCTCCTCCCCTCTCCTCTATCCATCTTCTCCTCTCTCCCTCCACCCCCTCTCCATCCCTCTCTCCCTCTCCTCCATCAGACTGCTTTCCCAGTTGAATGAGACAGAACGGGCGTTTGATGAGTTCTGGGTGAGACATCAGACCAAGCTGGAGCAATGTCTGCTGCTCCGCCACTTTGAACACAATTATAGAGAGGTGAGTGGGACAACACATGACTACACACACCTGACATCTGTACACCTTGGGTAAAATACACTAGTTACAGTACCTGAGAGCAATACGCCAGAGAGCAACATACACCTTACCAAACTAAGTAGATCATTACAGCCCTGATTTTGGTACACCTATGGGACATTGACACGGCCACCTGTGTGTGTGCATGTCACACCTGATCTTTGTGTACCATGTCTGTGTGTGCATGTACAACCGGATCTGAGTATATATTGTGTATAGGTCATACCAAATGTCATTACATCTGTCTGTATGTGTCAAACCTGTGTGTGTTCTAACTGTTGTGCTGCTGTTCCAGGTGAGGTGTCTGCTGGACCAGGTGGCAGAGAGATTGACAGCTTTCTCGGAGGTGGGAATAAGCCCCGCCCACGCTGATCACATCTTCCGCGAGCTGAGCAGCCACGAGGAGAGAGTCTGTGTAAGTAAACAAACACACTGATAGACATGTATTATCCAGAGTACGTATAGAAATCAATAATGTCTCCCTTTTATCTTTCCATCCCTCCTACCCCATGCCCTCTCTCACTTCCTCTCTCTCTCCCCCTCTCCCTCTGTAGGAGGTATTGGACCAAGCCCAGGCTCTGGCACGTGAGGGTGACAAGTTGATCCAGAGCTCCCACTATGCTGAGGACTCCATCCAGCCCAAATGCATCGAGCTCCGAGCCGTGAACGAGGAACTGAGCGCCTACCTGAGAGCAAAGAAAGACCACTTACTCAGAGCTATGGAGCTGCACCACAGCCTGGAGAGGGTGAGGGGGACGTAAACACACACATATATACACACATACACAAAGTCAATAAAGTCAATCAAATGCATGCAGAAACACACACACACCACCCCATAAACCCCTAAAAGCACACTCTCAACCCCCCCCCCCCCCTCTTCTAGGCTGCTAAGTGGTGTGATGATGGCATCTACCTGCTGGCCTCTCAGCCCGTTGACAAGTGTCAATCACATGACGGGGCAGAGTCAGCGCTGCAGGAGATTGAGCGTTACCTGGATACAGCGGGACAGAACAAACTGACTGATCCTAGTGCCATCTGCAGGGACTACGAGACAGTGCTCAACCACGAGTTCAAGGTAAGGGGATCCATCTCTCTGACTTGGACATGCACTCAGACCTGGATTCATAATGTGATCAATTAAATGTAACGAAAAGATGACACAGCAAACAAACAGCTATCAAAACCTGTGAGTGTCCCAGAGTGTAATTTTGTTCCTGGGTCCTCTTCTCCTCCTCTTCTCTCCTCTCCTCCTCTCTCATCCTTTCTCCTCTCCTCCCTCAGGACCAAGTGGAGAAGGTGTTCCAGAAGCAGGTGTCCATGCAGGAGATGTTTGAGAAGAGAAGGGTCAGTCTGAAGAAGCTGGCAGCCAAACAGACCAGGCCAGTCCAGCCTGTGGCCCCAAGGCCTGAAGCCATCAAGTCCCCACTGTCCTCGCCAGGTGAGTCCATAAATACTACCTGTCCTGAAGTACCACCAGTACTTATGTACCATATGTCCTTATATACCACCTGTCCTGAAGTACCACCAGTTCTTATGTACCATATGTCCTTGTATAACACCTGTCCTGACGTACCACATGTGTTTACACATCATCAGCACCCTGTCCTCACAAATACAGTCCTGACATAGGGTTAATGTTCTTTTAACTAGATCGGTCAATATATATTTAGATATGTGTATAGTGTTATTATCCCACCTCACCTCCTCCACTCTCTCTTTCTCTCGCCCATAGCAAAGAGAGTGCTGGAGAAGAGCTGCTCAGAGGGAGACTCTGTGAACGGGGTCAGCTGTAGAAAAGTAAGTTGAGGTCCCTCTTACTTTGGTCTGTGTTTTACTGTGGGATAGTATTATCATACCTCCAGTAGCTTCAGCAGACACTCATCCTGTGGTGTGTTCTCAGGTGGAGGGCCAGCTACAGAGCAACAGAAGTGCCTCTCTGTCAGAGGAAGACGAGAACCTGGCCATCCTCAGAAAGTACGTTTGTTTGTGTTTTGTCCGATGTTATGTCTGGCTGCATATCTGTGAGTCTGTGGTGTTTCTCTGACTTCTGTGTGTAGTGTTTCACCCATAGAAATAATAATTATAAAGATTCCCTTATCATCTGGTGTCTGTATCATGTAAGCCTGAACTGTCTACATTATGTCTGACTGTGCTCTCTCTATGTAGACATGTAATGAATGAGCTGCTGGAGACAGAGAAGGCATACGTGGAGGAGCTGCTCTGTGTTCTACAGGTGTGTATCTCTCTATCCCTCTCCCCTGGACCATCTGAAACCTCTCCGTCCTCCTCTCACACGTGTATCGGTCTTAACTGTGTTAGTCCTAATGTGTGTTTCAGGGCTATGCCTCAGAGATGGACAACCCAGCCATGACCAGCCTCATGCCCATTCCTCTGCAAAACAAAAAAGATGTGCTGTTTGGCAACATGCCAGAGATCTACCACTTCCACAAGAGGTAAATGAGCGCCCCTAGCGGTTATTAATGGTGTTTACACAGTGATAGGATTACCCAGGCATTGTACTGACTGACTCATCATCTCTTTCTCTCTGCATCCCTCTTCCTTATGATCTCCCAGGACCTTTCTGAGGGAGTTGGAAGAGTACGAAGACTGCCCGGAACTTGTAGGTCGGTGTTTTCTGGAGAGGGTGAGTGTTTGGAGATTGAACTGGGATATGTTGTCTTAATCACTACTCTGATTGTAGTGAAGCATTTGTGATGCAGGGGTATTTCTCTCTCAACCTTTCTCTCTTTTCTTTATTCTCTCTCTCATAGATGACAGACCTGCAGATTTATGAGAAGTATTGTCAGAATAAACCTCGCTCTGAGAGCTTGTGGAGACAATGTTCCGACTGCGCCTTCTTCCAGGTACACACCATATCCACACCTCCCCTAAGTTACACACACCCAACAGCTTCAGGCCTAAGTGGTTGTTATCCCCTATTCATGTATTTTCCCTGTTCTGGTCTGTACCAGGAGTGTCAGAAGAAGCTGGAACATAAACTGGGCTTGGACTCCTATCTCCTGAAACCTGTCCAGAGGATCACCAAATACCAGCTCCTGTTGAAGGTAGGACCGGTACTTGTCCTTCTATACGTTGTCTCATGATTCACAAGAGCATTCTGGTCCACTCCTTTATATTCATAATGTCTCATTGCAGATCGACATAACTCAATATGTGTATGTTGTAGGAGCTGCTGAAGTACAGTAAGGGCTGTGAGGGGTCAGAGGACCTGCAGGAGGCGCTCACCTCTATCCTGGGCATCCTGAAGGCTGTCAACGACTCCATGCACCTCATCGCTATCACTGGATATGATGTGAGTTCATCATCGACAAACTTCACATTCTCTGAAATGTACTGCATATTCCTTTCATGGCGTCAACATCATATTATTTTAGAGATTGTGTCAACATGTCAATATTACATAAGACTGCAGCACCATAGCTTCTGATGAGACATTAACTTTCTCTTGACCTGTGACCCTTCTTCTGATAGGGTAACATGGGCGACCTGGGCCGGCTGCTGATGCAGGGGTCATTCAGTGTGTGGACAGAACACAAGAAAGGTCACGCCAAGGTCAAGGACCTGGCCCGCTTCAAGCCCATGCAGAGACACCTGTTCCTGCATGAGAAGGCCCTGCTCTTCTGTAAGAGACGGGAGGAGAACGGGGAGGGCTATGAGAAAGCCCCCTCTTACAGCTTTAAACAGTCCCTCAGCGTGAGTCTGTCTGTCTGTCCGTATGTCTGCCTGCCCGCCAGTATGTGTGTTTGTAGTAGGTCTAACAGTGTTTGATATTGCAAGTGAGTTAAAATTGAGCTTTTAGAAGCTAACATTTTCCAAAATGGTATGCCCTCTACCAGATGAGTGCTGTGGGCATCACTGAGAACGCCAAAGGTGACAACAAGAAGTTTGAGGTCTGGTGCAACTCACGGGAGGAGGTGTACATCGTTCAAGTGAGTGGTTTTGCCCAAACGACAGCTACAGACTACATGTCTACAAGTTTGTTTTACAATGATACAGAAATCATATCAGACTCTATTTAGATAAAAAAACAGAAATGGGTTTCATCGTTGTATTTCAGGCCCCGACATCTGAGGTAAAAACGACGTGGGTGAAGGAGATCCGGAAGGTTCTGACAACACAGCTGGAGGCCTACAGAGGTAGGTAGAGTGTCTGTCTGTGGCAGACCTGGTGTCAAATAGTATTTGTTTTCTTTCTAATACTTTGAGTGTATTGTAATTACATTGAGTATTACATTCACTGGTCATGATTTAGTGGGACTGTAGTTGATCTCCCTGCGTGTCTTCCAGAAGCCAGCCAACAGAGGCCATCAGACGGACTGTTCCAGTTCCCCCCTGGTGCTGGAGGACCTGTCAGCCTCAGGTCAGTCACCTGACCCATACTGACCTATTACAGAGTCAGAGCCTCTCATTCACAAATGAGAAGTAATCAAAGACCCACCGAATGTTATGCACTGTATATTACATGGAATAATGGGGCCTGTTTAGGGGGATGTAACAGAAGGTCCAGACAGAAATGTATCATGTATACAACATGTTGTCTTACCGAAGTGTGTTGCAGTGTGAGTTTCTGACTGACCTGTTTCATCCTCCTGTCTCCTCAGTCCATTTAGAAGAGGGGAGAGGAGCATGAAGGAGAAGGGAGAACCAAGCAGCCCCGATGCTAACTCCCGCTCCTTCCCAAAGACCAAAGGTGAGCAGAGAGCGAGAGAGGGGAGGAGGGTATAACATAAAGACCGCTCAGACACCACCACCTTTAAACTGGGTCCAATGCTAAATTCAAAGCTATTCTTTACTCTCAACTGTGTTTAATAGTCATCACTTTCCTAAAGCTTTTCTTGTTTCAGCCAAACACTGAACTATACTACCTTCTGACTGACTCTTAACTAAATGTTGCTTCTCTCTCTGTGATGAGTTGACTAATCTTTCTCTTCACTTCTTTCTATCTCTTTCTATTCACTGCACTTTCCTTCTCTCCATCCCTTCCTTCTTTTATGCCTCACACACCTCTCCCTGTCGCTCTCCTCTTTCTCATCCCACTCACCTCTCCTTCCTTCCTTCTCTCCCCTGCTCCTCTCCTTCTCCTGGCCCAGAAGAAGCAGCGACTAGTCCTACCTCAGACAGAGCAGCTGTGGCTAAAAAGCGTTTTACCTTGCAGGGCTTCAGCAACTACAACAAAGGTAACAGCCCTAGCTGGCCACCAGGGGGTTGCCATGGTACTCTTGTACATTGTTACTATATGTCAGCACTATAGACTTAAATAGGATAATACATGGCATGCTTCCTTCCACAGACCTCTCACCTCCTGACAATAAAAGCTTAACTTTACCCAGGATGCCCCTCTCTCCATCAGGTACCTGACAATTTAGCTAAAGTGACCATAGATTAGAATCTAGAGGTAACTTTGTTCCATAGTTTAAGTCAGTGTTTCCCAACTCCAGTCCTCGAGTACCCTCAACAGTACACATTTGTAATGTAGCCACAGAACACACCTGATTCAACGTTCTTTTTTTTTTTTCTCCTTTTTTTTTATTCATTTAGCAGACGCTCTTATCCAGAGCGACTTACAAGAGCAATTAGGGTTAAGTGCCTTGCTCAAGGGCACATCGACAGATTTTTCACCTAGTCGGCTCGGGGATTAGAACCAGCGACCTTTTGGTTACTGGCACAACGCTCTTAACCACTAAGCTACCTGCCGTCAAGCCCTTGATGAGTTGAATGAGGTGTGTTTGTCCGGGGCTACAACGAAAATGTGTATGGTTGGGGATACTTGAGGACCAGAGTTGGGAAACGCTTGCTTAAGTGACGACCAATTAGAGTTGTACTGTGTAGCTGATAGTGAATAGACTGCTTTAGGGAGCCTGTATCTCTGTTTTTCACCCCTGTAGTCTGTCTCAGAGTAGTGTGTGCTGTAGGATAACAATGCTAGTAAACAGAACATACAGTTAGAACATACAGTGTGTGGTGCTCCTTTGAATGTCCTCTGCTCTCTTCATTCTTTGTCTGTGCTTACTTTAACTTCCACTTTAAAGATATGTTACTACTGATATTTGTCTTATTTGAGTGTTTTGCTACTCCTTTTGTCTCTCTTCCTCCTCTCTTTTCCTATTTTATTCCTGTCTTCCTGTGATGGCTAGGATCTCCCACAAGCCCTGACCATAAAACCAAACGTCATGAGATAAAGAGTGATCCTACTCCGTTCGGCTTTAAAGGTACACCTTCCCATAATAATCCTATTCACTGTATCTGTGGTCGACCATGGTCGCTGCATTTGATCATTTCAACCGTGGTTGGTCAGGGTGTGTTGATTTACAGACAGCGGTTTCTCCCCTCAGACAAGCGAATAAGGTTAATCAGGGAATGTATGATACGCTGTGTTGACTGACAGGCAACAGGAGTCATAGTTACCATGGTCGGTCATTCATTGTGGTTGAGCACGTTCGCTGCAGTCGATCTCTTTGACCATGTTTCAATAGGGTTGTATGTATCTTTCTCTCAGACCCAGGCACTCACGCTCACCTCCACCTGGGCAGAGTCAGGTGGCTCAGCACCTCGAGTCTCTTACAGGCCAAGAGGAGAGGTACCGTACAGCATTCAACTGGACTGGACTGTTTTAGACTGGTTTAGACTGGATTAAGATGTGTGGTGATCACAAAATGGCTGCCGAATTTCACTGAGAGATTGGCCCCTCTCACTCCCTACACACTGTTCCCCTGCCTGAGTCTGTGCATACACATGACCACCTAAATACATATGTTGATATATTTATCCAAAAAAACGTCACGTTCCTTATTGCTGAGTAGTGTTGTGGTTCTGAATGGTCCACACGATTACTGTAGTCTCACTTGGTCCTGTTCTTTCTGATTGCGGTCCATCCTGACAGTGTCTGGTCAGACAGGTTGCTGGAAATTCATACTCTCAATCCCCCCCCCAGTGTGTGTGTGTGTGTGTGTGCGCGACTGAGCGAGTGTGTGTTTCAGGCTACACAAGACACCAAACTGGGTTATGTCCCTTCTCTCCCTCCTCTAGGATGGACCAAGGGCTCGCTCTCATTGGACGCCAATGAGGAGAATGATGGCTACTCTAGCCCTGAAGAGCCCCTGAACTCAGACCCCGAGGACGAGGGGGGAAAGAAACTAGTGAGTGTGTGTGTGTGTGTGGGTGCGTGCGTGCGTGAGGATACTCATCCACTCCAAGCTGGGATGTGGCTCCACGTATAAACATTTTTTCTAAATAATTGTTTACAATCATACATACAATCTAACACCATATCGTGACTGTGTACAGTGTGCAGGGAAGTACACAGTGGTGTCTGACTATGAGAAGGGAGAGGCCCAGGACCTGTCAGTCAAGAGTGGTGAAACGGTGCAGCTGATCAAGGAGAGAGATGATGGACAGTGGTGAGAATATTACCTCGACGCCCTTACACTTGATTGGGCTTCACACTTTAACAGTCAGAACCTATTCCAACAGGCTCATATTCAATAGGGAATACCATAGTGCAGGTCTCTCCAACCCTGTTCTTGGGGAGCTACCCTCCTGTAGGTTTTCGATCCAACCCCACTTGTAACTAACATGATTCATGTTAGCAACTAATTATTAGAATCAGGTGTGCTAGGTTAGAGTCGGAGTGAAAACCTACAAGACTGTAGCTCTCCAGGAACAGGGTTGGAGAGACCTGCCATAGTGAAACGTAACAAAACATGTTGAAACAGGAAACGAAAATAAGCAATTCTTATTGGACAAGTTCAGGTAGCACATCCCTGTTGCAGTCCCTTTTCTTCTGTGCCTAATGAATATGACCCAGTATTCAAATCTGAGCAGTGTTGAGTTGGGGTGAGGTGGTGATCAAGGGGTTGTGTGTGTTTGTGTGTTGGTGCAGGTTTGTGAAGAACTTGAAGACCAAGCAGGAGGGCTGGGTGGCTGCAGCCAACCTTCTCACCCTGATTGGAGAGTCCAAGTCCTGCCAGTCTCTCACCAGCTCAGGTAAAACCTCCTCTCCATGTAGAATTATGTGGAACGGGGTGTGTGTGTGTATCTCTCCTAAACCATCTCCTCTAACCTCTGGTCTCCCTGTGTATGTGTGTGTATTCCAGAGGGCAGTGGCTCAGGGAACCTCAGCAATTCATCCAGCTGCTGTGAGACCTACACCAGCTTCTCTGACATCAAGCCCTGAACCCTCCACCCTTCCCTGGCCCCATCAGGCCACCCCAGGCCCCTTGTCTCCAGACCCAAACCCAACAGCACCAGCTGGTGGCTCCCCCAGCAAGACAGCACTTTCTCCCCCCACCCTAAACACAACTTCCCCCCACCTTACCCAGAGGCAAGCCCCTCGATTAGGATACTGGTCATCAACTTCAAGAAGATGCCAACAATAGACTAAATCAAATGTCGTTGACTAGAGAATGGACTCTGGCGCCCTTGTGTAGTTGAAGAGACACAGCAGTGTAGGTTGGCAGCAGCTACACCTAGACACTGATTTTAGGTCAGTTTGATACTTTTGCATTTATCCTTCTTAAAATTGTCAAGGTTAGGATTGGGGGTTGGGTGAGCTGATCCTAGATCTAACCGTCAGCTATGCAAGCAGACAAAATGCTATGGACAAGAACCTGACAAAACCCATAGAAATACAATACAATTCTGTTATGAATTCTAATTCTAAGATTAACCTGATCAGGTATCAGTGATATAGCCACCCCTCCATCTGCAATAGAGTGGTGGACATGGATTGTGTTGAGCCCTTTTTGTTGTACTGTAAGCCTATGTTACAATGCTGTTGGTCTGCATCATGGTCCCCTTGATTGTCTACAAATAGACAAGACTGTTTGTATTTTTTTTTATAGAAAGTTACTGTAAATAAAAAAGATTATGAATGCTATGATTGAAAAGTATACCATGTGTAGCTTTTCAGATTGTTGCTCTATGAGTGCTACCAGTCACCTCAACTGGTGACCATGTACAGTGGGGGAAAAAAGTATTTAGTCAGCCACCAATTGTGCAAGTTCTCCCACTTAAAAAGATGAGAGAGGCCTGTAATTTTCATCATAGGTAAACGTCAACTATGACAGACAAATTGAGAAAAAAAAATCCAGAAAATCACATTGTAGGATTTTTAATATATTTATTTGCAAATTATGGTGGAAAATAAGTATTTGGTCACCTACAAACAAGCAAGATTTCTGGCTCTCACAGACCTGTAACTTCTTCTTTAAGATGCTCCTCTGTCCTCCACTCGTTACCTGTATTAATGGCACCTGTTTGAACTTGTTATCAGTATAAAAGACACCTGTCCACAACCTCAAACAGTCACACTCCAAACTCCACTATGGCCAAGACCAAAGAGCTGTCAAAGGACACCAGAAACAAAATTGTAGACCTGCACCAGGCTGGAAAGACTGAATCTGCAATAGGTAAGCAGCTTGGTTTGACGAAATCAACTGTGGGAGCAATTATTAGGAAATGGAAGACATACAAGACCACTGATAATCTCCCTCGATCTGGGGCTCCACACAAGATCTCACCCCGTGGGGTCAAAATGATCACAAGAACGGTGAGCAAAAATCCCAGAACCACACGGGGGGACCTAGTGAATGACCTGCAGAGAGCTGGGACCGAAGTAACAAAGCCTACCATCAGTAACACACTACGCCGCCAGGGACTCAAATCCTGCAGTGCCAGACGTGTCCCCCTGCTTAAGCCAGTACATGTCCAGGCCCGTCTGAAGTTTGCTAGAGTGCATTTGGATGATCCAGAAGAGGATTGGGAGAATGTCATATGGTCAGATGAAACCAAAATATAACTTTTTGGTAAAAACTCAACTCGTCGTTTTGGAGGACAAAGAATGCTGAGTTGCATCCAAAGAACACCATACCTACTGTGAAGCATGGGGGTGGAAACATCATGCTTTGGGGCTGTTTTTCTGCAAAGGGACCAGGACGACTGATCCGTGTAAAGGAAAGAATGAATGGGGCCATGTATCGTGAGATTTTGAGTGAAAACCTCCTATCAGCAAGGGCATTGAAGATGAAACGTGGCTGGGTCTTTCAGCATGACAATGATCCCAAACACACCGCCTGGGCAACGAAGGATTGGTTTCGTAAGAAGCATTTCAAGGGCCTGGAGTGGCCTAGCCAGTCTCCAGATCTCAACCCCATAGAAAATCTTTGGAGGGAGTTGAAAGTCTGTGTTGCCCAGCGACAGCCCCAAAACATCACTGCTCTAGTGGAGATCTGCATGGAGGAATGGGCCAAAATACCAGCAACAGTGTGTGAAAACCTTGTGAAGACTTACAGAAAACGTTTGACCTGTGTCATTGCCAACAAAGGGTATATAACAAAGTATTGAGAAACTTTTGTTATTGACCAAATACTTATTTTCCACCATAATTTGCAAATAAATTCATTAAAAATCCTACAATGTGATTTTCTGGAAAATGTTTCTTCTCATTTTGTCTGTCATAGTTGACGTGTACCTATGATGAAAATTACAGGCCTCTCTCATCTTTTGAGGTGGGAGAACTTGCACAATTGGTGGCTGACTAAATACTTTTTTCCCCCCCACTGTAAGTAACCAATATGACCTTTGGTAGGCCTGTGACTATCTTATTGCCTCTTGGAAAGTGAGGAGTTACTGTTTATTTGAAAGCAGAAGGAAGGGAATGACTTATGTACTGTGATAAAGATGTTATTCTACGTCTGTCTCTCTATAATGTAATCTCTCTCTCGTCTTTCTCTCTCCCTCCCTCTTGTTCTCATCGCCTACCCTGTCCTGCAACATTAGTTTTGTATATGGTTCAGACAGAGCAGTCACAGTATCACTGTTTGTTTCCTCGTCAAATAACTTTATTATGAGATCCCTTTTTCATCCATTCCACCGGCTCGCCGTTCAGACATCTATTAAACATGACTTTAGTCATTACAGGTGTCTTCTCCATGTGTACTGTGAGCTTTCCTAGTTTTGTGAATAACTCAGTGTATAGTCATAACTTATTTATTGTAAAGCAATCATATTTTTTATATTGTTTATTAACTCACTATTTTCTTTATGAAATCAGAAATTCTCTATCAGTCTGTTGTTTTTTCTATTAAAGCACTTGTGGTACAGGTAATTCTCTCTCTGTGTGTATTTCCTGTATCGGGTTGGGTAGCCTTATAAAATAATATTGTATTTCTTGTAAATGTCATTTTAGACTGCCTATGGGAGAAGTCTGCCTACAGCTCTGTTCTTTGCTATAGTACAGCTGCAGCTAGCCAGCAGATCCGACCCACTTGCTTACAGCTGCACTAGGGTCAGACAGGCTTCCTGTGTAGATTAAGACACTGCAGAGCCGGCGTGAGATATGTCTCTGAAAACATACCTCAATCCAGGGATAAGAAATGCGTGGACTCCAAATTGTCCCATTATCCCAACTGTTACACCGAGGAGATTGCATGAAAAAAATAGCAGTCGTTCAATCTTCTCTGTGTAACAGTCGGGATAATGGGACAATTCAGAGTATAACGCATTTCTCATCCCTGGATTGAGGTACGTTTTCAGAGACATATTTTGCACCCCGCAGTGTCTTAATCCAGGGTTTCCCAAATTTGGTCAACTCTCCCCTCCCCCCGGGTGCACATTTACATCATTTAGCAGACGGTCTTCTCCAGAGCAGCTTACAAATTTGACGTTTTGGTTTTTGCCCTAGCACTACACAGCTGATTTAAAATAACCAACTCATCTTCAAGCTTTGATTATTTGAATTAGCTTTGATGTGCTAGGACAAAAACCTAAACCTGCACCCAGGGGTGGCCCCTGGACCGATTTTGGGAAACCCTACAAAGTCTGTCTGACCCTAGTGCAGCTGTAGCCTAAGCAAGCGGGTCGGATCTGCTGGCTAAATTTCAGCCAGCCTATACCCAACCAGCTAGCACAGGTTGTGCACAAACACAGTGACATCGACTAGGCCTACCCAAAGCAACAAACCTCTATACCCGCACAACCAGATATATAAGATTGTTGGGTTTTATTTTTCTCATAATTGGATCTGTATGTGATGGATAGCTTGGAAGGAATGCATGAATGAGGAGCACTGTACTGATATGGATTGTTTCACATAACAGGGTGGGGAACGTTGGGGGTAGGACAGATAAGACTTGTGTTTCTTGCAGATGCGAACACTCTCTCTTTGTATTCTGTGAAACTGTCCTTGAACATGGAGTACAGTGGGATGATGTCTTTCTGGGTGCTGACTCCGCAGGTTATCATAGCAACTTTGTCTAGTAACAAATGGAGTGCCGAGGAGTTGGGCCCACCCCTGCGCCAACGGATTGGCTGGACCACACTCAGTCCTTTGCTCTGGTTGGCCAACAGAAGAAGTGGAGGATTTCTGTCAGAGTATTTTAAGAAGAACTTAGAACAATGGATTAGTTAACTGAGTGCCCTGCGTGGTATTTCAGTGGACCCGTATATACGAACCTTCATACTTATCATACATACATTTTGCATATAATAAATTAAGCTTGGATTGAAGATCTCTTGATTCTTATTCCAATACCAGATTTGAATTACGCAATTTCTAACAAGATAGAGAAAAAAATGGAAAGCAAAAAGCATACCACGGAAAATCAGAATTTGACCCAAAAAATTAAAAGTAGGGAGCTTAGAATCGTGAAAAACAGGGCAAATGTCAAATCAAATGTATGGGATCATTTTGGAGTAATCGTTAACGCTGACAAACAACTTGTGGATGGATTCGCAGCATGCAAAAAGTGCAAACGGGTGTTTGCCTATGATAGTCAAAGAACGGGCACTTCCAGCTTGAAAAAACACATTGGGAGATGCACGGTAAGACGGCTATTGATTGATTACACAGTAGCCGACTGTAGTGTAGAACAAGGAGCCCAGTAGCGTTACCCTATGAATGACAAATATAGTTCGCTCGGGTCGAAGCTGTCGGGTTGCGATTCAATTCCATGCGGTTCGGGTTGGGGTAGCAGTCTTTCCTAATGGCGGTTTGCAGTCGGGTCCAGATAGATCCGTTTGTGGAGAATTATGGAAAAGTTGACTGTCGTATTGCAGACACATAGTGTTTGAGTGAGAATTAAAATAATATGTGGGCTATTGTGAAACGGAATGCTTGATTCTATAGTTACATTTTGCATTTGTAAACTGTGTCTGCTATGTGGAGTGGTGAAGACGTTCGCATTTAATCATCGCGCATGCGCAAGTAAATGTCAGTCTAGATTCCAGACTGCTAGCTAGAAACAGTACGTTCAGGCGAGGTAGCGCAAAATATCCTTCCATTAGCTAATTAGACAGTGAGAAGCTGTGGTTGTGAGATATGGAAAGTAGAAGCAGAGACCGTAAAAAAAGTCACACCTGGAAATATTTCAATGAAATCTCGTCCGAAAGTGTGACATGCAAGCTGTGTGCGGCTGTTCTGAAGCGGACGAGCGGAAGCACAACATCCATGTTAAACCATTTAGAAAGGATCCATCATCTGTCGTTAAGACATATAAAAACACAGCGAGAGCTGATGGCTGCCGTTAGAGGTAAGACTCCTGTAAGTGTTTTATTTAACTCTTAGGCGATTACTATAGCAAATTCCTGTTGATAGCTGGACAGGTCCCCCCTCGGCAAGTTTCTCGGCTTCCTCAGTTTGTACCGTATATACTCTTCACGAGGTTGCCATTTCAAAGTGTGCCTCGCATTTGTTTTAACCCCAAATACAGTTAATACGGTAAATGGCCGATATTTAGTCAGAGCAGAGGATTGCTAACAACTATTTCCGAGAAGAACCAGGCGAGTCTGCTGTTCTAGTCAGTTGTAAGATTATCTGGTTTGGTTGTCCATTGGTTCCTTTCATTCACAAAATGTCAACACCAAGTTCACCCAGTTTTGGTTCAACTGTCGCACAGCTCCGACAGAATTAAAGCTTCACTGGATAAATGTAAACCCTGCGACCAAAATATCAGATGTAAAGGAGGTGGCATGAAAAGGCATTTAGTCTCGTCATCAGGAAAACTGGACCTCCGAATGGGCTCTACTTAAACAAATAATTCGAGACCTCCACAGACAAAAGCAATGGAGCGCCAGAGACAGGTATTAAAACGAGTGGGAACAAAATATAAACGTTATGATGTTACAACATTTGAGTAACAATCAATAAAGAACTGAGTTAGGCTACATACATTCATGACGAATCTATCGATTGAATGCGCACATTTAGCTAAACGGATTCGAGGATTTCCGCATATTATACTAACCGGGAAATGCTGTTTTGGTTCCCAGTTATGTAAAATTTCAATTAAATGCTGACTCTCAAATAGCCGCCTGTCCCTTTTTAATAGCCAGGGCATCGGTACACATTTCAGCAAATAAACGCCTGTTTCAAATAAACGCCCCATTAAATGAATTGTTTACGAGGTTACCATGTCATGTGATGTCATGTACATAAAAAAAATATCATGTTGATTGCCATGGCGCCACCAAGAAGAAAATACGACATCAAATTCAAGCTAGCAGTGATCAAATTCACAGAGCAAAATTCGGGCGAGGCAACAGCCAGGCATTTTGGAATTGATCCAAAACGAGTGAGAGAATGGCGAAGTCAAAAATTCGAACTTCAACGTTTGTCTGAGGTGGATCAGAAGAGGGCGAGACTGCAAGGTGGGGGGAGGAAAAAGGTTAGCGAGTAGCTGGAGGCTAGTCTTTGCAAGTCTGGGGCGTATTCATTACGCCAATACAGTTGCAAAACGTTTCTTAAACGGAAGCAAACGGGGAGGGACCTACCGGATTTTGTCCAATAGAAACTCTCGTTTTAGTTCCAACCAACGTTCCGTTTAGCAACTGTTGGACTAATGATTACACCCCTGATCTGCGACGGACAACAGTGTGGTAGTCTTCAACATTTTATTGAGCAAAATCTGTGTACATTAAGGAAGTAGACACTTGGCTCCAATAGAAGCCGGTCTCTAATAAGCGCCGGTTGTGTTGCTTTATCGTTTGACGTTCTGGGGTTTATTCATTAGTTGCAGACCTTTGCAAAACGTTTCGCAACGGAAACCCGTTTAGCGTTAACTCTAGGAACCAAATGTAAGGAAACGTGGAGTGACCAACCTGAAATGGTCCAATATAAACTCTAGTATAAACGTTCCGTTTGAAGTAAACGGTGTCCGTTGAGAAACGCAACAGACCCTGATGTGAAATAAAACGTATTTATTAACAGTTTTATCAAACGTGTAGTTTGCTAATTTGGCTAGTCCAGCATAGATCTGAAGGAAAAGGCTTTGACTGTAGAGAGAGCATAAATAGGAAGCGATGGGACGCGCTAAAAGTAGCACGATATATGTACATGTCGGCTATGCAAAGCAGTATTCAAATACAACAACGGCATCACTTTACATTAACATTTTATTCATTTAGCAGATGCTCTTATCCAGAGCAATTTACAGGAGCAATTAAGGTTAAGTGCCTTGCTCAAGGGCACATAGACAGATTTTTGACCTATTCGGCTCAGGGATTAGAACCAGCGACCTTTCGGTTACTGGCACAACGCTCTTAACCACTAAACTACCTGCCGCCCTAATCCACTACATGTTATTTTGAAAATGAATACTGTTATTGACAGTCTATAAAACCACCCAACAAATAGACTACTACAGGGGACAACATGTCAAATGTAAAGCTTCAATAAAACATTTAAAAACGAAATAGCAGTTCCACCTCTTGTTTTCGTATACATCTGGTGGGGGAAATGCAACACAGAAATATTATCTTCTGCATAAATTTACATGGTTAATAGCAATTGCAAATCTTATTGAAATGTGACATACCATAATGTTATTTTTTTTAATGGTTGTGTGGTATGAATTGTTTTTCTTCAGACATTAAAGTTAAAAAGAGAAGCTGCAATAAAAAGAGAAGCTGCAATAGAGGCAGAGAAGACCATGTCCAAGAGCACATATGAGGAAGATGAGGAGGAGGAGGAGGGGCAGCGCCCAAAGACTGGGATGTCAGTGGGTATCATGTATATTGGAAGATAACATTGGTAATAGGCCCACTGTATTAGATTATCTCAGAGCCCAGAACCAAATCTTGTCTGTTATGACAGACTATAGGTTATATATTTAGTTCATATAAAAGTTTGATTTTACAGTTAAAAATGGCCAAGCCTTTGCAAGACTGTTCTTCAGTGTTCTGATGGTTTGTTAACATTGTATTTCTGTGTTCCTACCTTCCCCCAGGCAAGATCCCAATACTTCAGAGGTAGCCATGACAGAAGGTTGTTTTCTGTTGTTTTTGTTGTATCAGTTTCAATCTAAGATGTCCTCTATAGTCACTTATGTCAACTTTCAGATGGTCTCATAGGACGAACCCTGTGGTTATGATGTCACTCACAATATTCCTGTTTTTATGCTGTAGACGGGGCTGCAGAGCAGTTTGAGTTTCAGTATGGACTGGAGGGAGCAACATTTAAGAATGAGAATGGGGAGGTGAGTTGGCACTTAACGCAAAGTAGTGATTGAATGAGCAGGGTTTTTTCGCTGTCCCCTACCTCTTTCACTCTTGTAGTTAGCTACAGTACTTTTGCTCTTTTCTTCTACTCTGACCCCTTCTTTTTTCTGTGCAGTGCTCAAAGAGCCATCTGTCCATCATCAAAGTGGAACAACTGGACCCCCTTCTCCCTGACCAAAACAGTACGTTTGTGTGCATGTCTACTATAACAGAAGGAGAATAAAGGACCATCATATTAGGAGGTGTGTTGGCTCCTTGGTTTGGACTGGGATAGGTCAACCTGTCTACATATCCAATGTGCACTTATCAGGAGTCAACTCAATTCTTTCCCCAGACTCCAGCTGTGGTTCTGGGTCACCTAGGGATTCTGGGCCTCCTGGCTCATCTGGTTTTGGGTCCAGTATGAGTCCAGCTGCACAGTTCTTCAGGAAATGCCACCAGGCAGGCTGCACACAGTTCATCTTCTCTGAGTTCGCCTCCCGCCTCAACACCGTCACTGAGAGGATTTCATCCCAGCAGGCCAGCGAAGAAGGTGAGACAGAATAATACAATAGACTACTATTAAATACAGTGCATTCGGGAAAGTATTCAGACCCCTTGACTTTTTCCACATTTTGTTACATTAGTCTTATTCTATAATGGATTAATTAACAAAATCTATCTACACAATACCCCATAATGACAACGTGAAAAGTTTTTTTTTTGAATGTTTTGAAAAGTTATTAAAAATAAATAACAGAAATACCTTATTTACATAAGTATTCAGACCCTTTTCTATGAGCCTCAAAATTGAGCTCAGGTGCATCGTGTTTCCATTGATCTGTTTCCATTGATCATCCTTGAGATGTTTCTACAACTTGATTGGAGTCCACCTGTGGTAAATTCAGTTGATTGGACATGATTTGGAAAGGCACACACCTGTCTATATAAGGTCCCACAGTTGACAGTGCATGTCAGAGCAAAAACCAAGCCATGAGGTCAAAGGAATTGTCCATAGAGCTCAGATCTGGGGAAGGGTGCCCTTTCTGCAGCTTTGAAGGTCCCCAAGAACACAGTGGTCTCCATCATTCTTAAATGGAAGAAGTTTGGAACCACCAAGACTCTTCCTAGAGCTGGCCGCCCGGTCAAACTGAGCAACGGGAGAAGGGCCTTGGTCAGGGAGGTGACCAAGAACCCGATGGTCACTCTGACAGAGCTCCAGAGTTCCTCTGTGGAAATGGGAAAACCTTCCAGAAGGACAACCATCTCTGCAGCACTCCACCAATCAGGCCTTTATAGTAGAGTGTCCAGACGGAAGCCACTCCTCAGTAAAAGGCACATGACAGCCCGCTTGGAGTTTGTCAAAAGGCAACTAAAGGACTCTCAAACCATGAGAAACAAGATTCTCTGGTCTGATTAAACCAAGATTGAACTCTTTGGCCAGAATGCCAAGTGTCACATCTGGAGGAAACATGGCACAATCCCTATGGTGAAGCATGGTGGTGGCAGCATCATGCTGTGGGGATGTTTTTCAGTGGCAGGGACTGGGAGACTAGTCAGGATCGAGGTAAAGATGAACAGAGAAAAGTACAGAGAGATCCTTGATGAAAACCTGCTCCAGAGCGCTCAGGACCTCAGACTGGAGAGAAGGTTCACCTTCCAACAGTACTGAGTAGGCCTCCCGAGTGGCACAGTGGTCTAAGGCACTGCATCGCAGTGCTAGCTGTTCCACTAGAGATCCTGGTTCGTATCCAGGCTCTGTCGTTGCCTGCCGCGACCGGGAGACCCATGGGGCGGCGCACAATTGGCCCAGCGTCGTCCAGGGTAGGGGAGGGAATGGCCGGCAGGGATGTAGCTCAGTTGGTAGAACATGGCATTTGCAACGCCAGGCTTGTGGGTTCGATTCCCACGGGGGGCCAGTATGAAAAATAATGTATGCACTCACTAACTGTAAGTCGCTCTGGATAAGAGCGTCTGCTAAATGACTAAAATGTAAATGTAAAGGGTCTGAATACTTATGTAAATGTAATATTTCAGTTTTCTATTTGTAATACATTTTCAAAAATTTCTAAAAACCTGTTTTTGTTTTGTCATTATGGGGTATTGTGTGTAGATTGATGGGGGGGGGAAAAAACAATTTAATCAATTTTAGAATAAGACACTAACATAACAAAAATATGGAAAAAGTAAAGGGGTCTGAATACTTTCCGAATGGGACTGTAGTGTTGGCTAACTAAACCGGAGCATGCAATTTATAAAGAGCAATTGCAAACAATGTTATTGAATTGGGACTGGAAAACTGTTTGCTGTACTGTTGTCCATTGTGAAACTGCACCTTGTTGGATGTGTGCTTGTAATGCAATATTTTCATGATAAGGCCAGTATAGAGATTAACAAAAAATAATATCCTGTGTCCACAGATTTCAACCTCACCCTGAACGTGCTGGAGGCCTCTAGGATGCTGCCAGAGATCTTTGCTAAGAGAGACCAAGGTAAAGTATTTAAACATCCACATAAAGTACAAAATACACTCTCTTTGTGGCGCGTGGAATAAAGTCCCCATAAGTTAGTTCCTCATAGGAATTCTGGTTCGGAAGCACGAGTAACCTTGCCTGACACCAGAAGACCTACGTTAGCTCCCCGAGCTAAGGCTTAAGCTCGGTGGGCTAACACAGTTATGTGGCATGCAGGAGACCCGTCGTACTCATACTCTGACCGGTAACACCCGCATGCATGCATTATGACCTCAGCACTGGCCAGTAGACAGACACAGTGCCCAGAGAATTAATTTCACCCTAATGCCCTGTTTATTTTCCTTTGTTCAGAAATGGAGAAGAGACTGAATGATCTGCAGAGAGAGACTGAAGCGGTGAGGACTGCCAGATCTGCCATGAGAGATGCCTGTATCATGAGCTTCACCCGATCATGACGGCACACTGCTGAAGATCAAAGCAGTTTTATAAGGTGTTATAACTAGGGCCTGGAGTTTTCCTTGACAATGTGACCGGACTAGGAAAGTATAGGACCTGAAGTTTTCCTGGTCCGATCATGTGTACAGGAAAAACCTCACACCCCAATTTTAACAGAATGTAAATATTTCAAACCTTTTATATTTGCCATATTTTTCTACCTTTGTGTTCAAACATTTAACTCTGTGATATTTGAAAACAGTTTGTTGTACCCTGGCTACTGAGATGGGTGATATATTATACATTAAGTGAGTAATAGGCGATATAATGTTGTGACATACATTGGTTCTGGGTTCCGAGGTTATTGGCGTTTTATTCATGTTAAGTAGGTGATGTTTAGTGTCCGTCTCTGTGCTGTATGTACTTTGTGCTTACTAACCCTTCACAGGTTAAATATGTCCTTATACTGTATGTGTGAACCAGTATCTCTACATTTCTCAATGGATGGGTACTACATTTACTGTAAGACTAATTCATTAGGAATACACTGTAATATAGTATACTTGAGGAAAGCTGAGAACTGTGACATGTAATGAGAATGCATTAAACTTTTGTTATGTAAATTAGTCGTGATGACATTTCAGATCTGAAATGTCCTGTAAACAAAAATGTTCTAATACAGTAATAATGTAATATAAAGTTACTGCTCTGCTTATGGATGACAGTGGAATGGGAGGTGTATGTAGGCAGCGAACCTGGGAAGGTATGAAATGGGGAAATTTATGAAATGGGGAAATTTTAACTGAAATCCTAAATCCCATCATTATTGGTTTATGCATTTTAAATAGGATTATCAGTTCTCTTCTAGAATGGACTGAATTTAAATGGTACATTAGTTTCTTGACAGCAAGTAGCCTAGCAGCAAATATTGTAGTTGTAGTAGTAGCGTTTGAGAGATTCGATCTTTGAGATAACTGTGGTTGGCATAACGCCCTCTTGAGCCCCCAAGTGTACTGAAACTAGCACCACGCCCAGACTTGTCTGAGCACCCAATACAATAGCAATCAGTCGATAAAATCGAGAACCATCATCAAATCAACGTTTCATATCGTGGTGTAGATGTAATGTGTTGACAATGACACAATAACGCAAGATCACATTTCCAGCATGGCGGACAACCAGACCTCCTTTCCGCCAGAGGAAACAAAATGGTAATTAAGAAATAAGTGAGCATTGCATTTGCAGCTCATAAATTAATAAAAACATTAAAACGTAGTTTTAAACGTTACCTCTGAACATGCTCCGGCAACTCGTGGCCAGCTGGCTAGTTTGACTGACATTGCTAGCCCACGGGCGCGTTCTAGGTGGACTTAATTGTGTCTGCTTCTTAATTTATGGGTGTATTACAACGCTTGGATAGTTAACATAATATATTAGCATAATTGGTTCACATTATTTGATGATTTATTAGCCTCTACTTGTATTTTTTACAAATCACAAATGACGTGCTATGCAACTATTGGTTCATGCAATGCATTTTCTGCAATTTGGTCAGGGCCTGGAACATGACCCTCAACTATCTGAATCAGGTAATGAATGCTAGGTTAGGGTTGGACTGAATACCAACAGGATGGTAGATCTCCAGGAAGAGTGTTAGGTAGCGCTGTTGTAACCTATGTAAGTACTAGGTTGTATTTGTTGGTGCGGACCGTAGCAAAACTCCCATTTGCAATGGAAACTCAAAACAAGAGTTTCCTATAGGACAAGTTCAAGTCGTCCCTTGCAGTTTCAGTCAGTTTTCATTCTGTTTGGAGCCTAGGGAATTATAAGGCTTTTGTGGACACACTGCCCGACGACGGCTCATTTGCACTTTTATAGTTTCAGTTTTGTTCTATATCGTGGAGCTCCGCCCCATAGGGGAGCTATGCTCCTAGTGGTTTACCCTCTGCCCTACGGCAGAAACAGCCTGAAGCAAAATTATGCACACACCTGTCAGCCAATGGGAGCACAGGTGCCCCTATAATAAGGGACCCGTTCCCTCAATCTGCCTCCCATTTATCTTCAGCGACTGGACTAGATCTGAAGAAGCCAAGAAGTAGAAGACTCAGGAAGAACTCGTCGTCGATATCCAGCCATCAACGTCTTCCAGCATGAGCGCACCAGGAAATTTTCCACCCCCAAAAGCCCTTTTCAGGGCTCTATGTCGATGCACTGACATGGCAGCTACGGACCCCCACGACCTTTGTTTCGTGTGCTTGGGACCGCAGCATGCCAAGGACGGTCTCGACAACCCTCCTAACTGCGCCTCCTGCTCCCTCCTTCCTAGGAAGGAGAGGAAGCGGCGTTGGGCGTTTTTTAGAGAGGACATCCCCCTAGAGGATGTATTGTCCATTCTCGCCTCTGCTTCAGAGGCGTCTTCGGACAGTGCTGGCTCGGGGGACGACAAGGAGGGCACAGAGATGGATATCCCAGTGGGACAATCCGAAGCTCTGGCGCCAGCATTCAAGACCCCCTTTCCTTTGGAGAGCGCGAGGTCTGAGTGCTCCTTGGGCGATGACGACACGGGCTCTGTTAGATCAGAAGCCCTGTCCTTCGCGGCGGCCTCTCTGCGTTCGGACTTTCCCGAACTCATTGAGAAGGCTGCCAATCGACTGGAGATAGCGCTGCCCCCAGTTCCCCTCCCTGTGGAAGTGGATCTGATGGAAGGCGGCCCCTACTCCAAGCCAAGGAAGGCGGCTGAGCCGATGGCTCCAGCCATGCCTTCCCTTGGCAAATATGTCGAGGGCTCATGGGACTCACCTCTGGCGGCGCGTTCGCCGGCCAGAGCGTACATCCCATTCACCAGAGTGGCCGGTAATGAGTGGGCAGCAAAGGGAATCCCTAGGCTCGAAGGCGCCATGACGGCGTACTTAGTGCCGGGTTCGAGTCCCTGGGCAGCCTCCAAGAAGGCCACCTTACCGGCGCAGAAGGACAGGCTCACAGCACAGCTGGCCGAGAAGTCCTTCACGCTGGGAGCCCAGAGCGTGTCAGCGGCGAATAATATCGCCCTCCTCGCGGCCTCCCTATCCCGTCTCACAACGGGTAGGTCGGAGTTGACCGGTGAGGAAATTGAGGAGGCGTCCAGGATTTCCGGAGCCATCCTCCATCTGACACAGGCTGTAGCAATTTGCGCAGGCAGAACCATGGCCACCTCGGTGGTCACAGAGCGTCACCTGTGGCTGTCCATGACGGCCATGAAGGAGACTGACAGGGCCTCGCTGCTCAACGCTCCCGTCTCCAGCGAGGGCCTTTTTGGGGTCGCTGTGAAGGACGCAACAGAACGTTTCGCAAAAATGGATGAGGAGAGGAAGCACCTAGCCAAACATCTGCCGCTGGCGATGAAGGCTAGCAGAGCCCCAGCTATCCCGTCCACCTCCAACGCCCCCAGTAGGTCTACAGGGAGGCGGCGGGCCAGGCGACAGGCGTCCACCACAGGCGGCAAGCGAGCGGGTTCGGCCCCTCCGCCAGCGACAGTGGCAGCGACGGTTCCACCGGCGAGGGAGGTTATCGTCAAGCCGACCTGGCAGCACCAGAAGGTCTCCCAGAAAAGGCGGCACCTATGACGAGGCGAGGGGGAGAGAGCGGACGACGGCTCGGCGCGAGACGCAGCGAAGCCCACTGTTCCCCCCCACCCCACTGTTCAGGGCGTGGAGGAAATGTGTTGTGATTATGTGAATAAAGAGCTGGTTCTCACTGACATTGTCAAAGAAGGACATATATTCCATAACGCACTACAGAACACTTCACGTTCTATCATTTTCTCTCACCATCCTGAGTGTAGCTCAACCCACCAAGAGTGCGTAGTTGAACACACTCAGGAGAGGAAAGGGGAAAAGGTAGCAAAGCACAGCCTTAGCTCACCCGCTAAAGACCTTTTACTACAGACTCCTAGGAGCTCTGTAGTAAAGGTCTCACACAGCAGGCAGCTGTCTCTGTCCCAATGTGACATGAAGACGCAGCCGCTAGCTGGGAATGACGCCTTGCTGCAGGCTAATGCCTCAGCCAGCGCAGATCAGACCCATGCGACGTTCAAGGAGGGCGGGAATACTAGAGTTACAGGTGTAACCAATGTATGGACGCCCCCAGTGTATTCTGAACGTAACAATGCCCATGGCTCTGAGTGCAGCTCGCCACACATAGAGTGTGATGCTGAGCAGCCGCATGAGACCAATGAAGAGGTATTGTGGCACCACCTTGTGGTACCAGTCAGAGATCACACCTTTCAGACTCTGTTGAGTACTGCAGTGGATGGGTCACATAGAAAGCAGCAGTCTCAGTCAGACAATGACTCAGCCAGTGCAGTTCAGAACCGTGCTGCGTTCACGGAGGGCCGGATTACTGGAGTTACGGTCGTAACTAACGTATCAAGGCCCCCGATTCACTCAGAACGAGCTGATGTTTCCTCTCCCTTTCGAGGGGGGCCCGCCTTGGGCTATTCCACCAACCCAGTGTTGGGGAATAGCGGCGGCGAGGGCCATAGAGGAATAAAGGTCCTTCCTACTGGACGCACCACAGCTTCGTGCGCGCCCGCTTTCTCTGCATTGCTGGCAGTGGCAACGAAGCTGTACCCTCTCACGCTGGCTAGAACAGACGTTGCAGAAGGGTTATGCCCTCCAATTCTGGTCCTCTATAGCTCAGTTGGTAGAGCACGGCGCTTGAAACGCCAAGGTAGTGGGTTCGATCCCCGGGACCACCCATACACAAAAAAAAAATGTATGCACGCATGACTGTAAGTCGCTTTGGATAAAAGCGTCTGCTAAATGGCATATTATTATTATTATTATTATAATTCCATCGGACCCCACCCCCGTTCAGGGGAGTGGTGGAGACGGTGATGAAAACGCCGGACAAAGTAGCCGCTCTGATGTCAGAGATTACGGAACTTTTGGCGAAGGAGGCGGTCACAGTAGTTCCCCGAGAGCAAAGGAACAAGGGGCTGTATTCGCCTTATTTCCTAGTGCCCAAAATGACGGGGGGAGTGAGGCCGATTTTGGATTTACGCATTCTCAACGAGAGCATAACCAAACGGCCCTTCCGAATGCTGACGACAAAACGTCTACTGGAATGTGTCCAGAAAGGGGACTTTTGTACAAGCATAGACCTAAAGGACGCGTACTTCCATGTGCCGATACAATCGCGCCACAGGAAGTTTCTGCGGTTCGCCTTTCAAGGGGTGGCGTACGAATTCACGAGGATGCCATTCGGGTACGCCCTGGCACCTCGAACGTTTTCCAAATGTGTGGAGGCGGCATTGGAGCCGCTGCGTCGTCAAGGGATAAGGCTACTAGCCTACCTAGACGACCTGCTGGTTCTCGCCCCGTCAGCAGAGCTGGCGTTCACTCACACGACAGAGACAGTGATTCATCTCACGCGTCTGGGGTTCGCGGTGAATTGGAAAAAGAGCGCACCCTGGCCCAGTCATCAGATTGTCTACCTGGGACTACAGCTGGACACTGTATTGATGAGGGCGCGAATATCGGACCCTCGAAGGGCAGCATTGTTGCTAGCCCTGAGGAGGTGTCGTCCGAATCACACAGTAACGGTGCTATCGATCATGTCACTTTTGGGTCTCATGTCGGCAGCCCACTCTGTGGTCCCGCTGGGACTCCTGCACATGC